ATCTAAGAAAATCTTCCTGAGTGGATTGTTTCCCTGGTATTCAGATTGAAAGGGTTTGATCACAGTTGATGTAAAAAGACACTCCTAATTTTTGAATTACAAAATTCTGTAATATAAACTTCATTATCAGGTATCAAGATGTATGATGACATATAATAATTAAGCAACCATAATATTGCCAAAGAAATTGATATATAGACTTACAGGGATAAAATATTGTAAAAAGCCCAGAAAAAGACCCCCAAATATACAGAAATATAATATAGGAAGTGTTAAAACCCATGGAAAAAAAAAATCAAACAAACAAACAAAAAAAAACCTAGAAATTTAAAAGAGAACTGTAAATGCACAGTTGGGTCCATAGTATTCAAAAGATTTAAGTTGATCCCTTTTTTTTGCCTCTATTTCAGTACTGTGCACCTTAGTTTACTTGTCTTTCCCCTCAGCTGAAGCAACCCCTCTTCTGCAAGAACTTCAACCCCTTTGCCTGGCCAGGCTGGGGCTATTCCTCTCTGCTCGCAAAGTTACCTGTGCCTCCCTGACAGAATGTTTATCACACATTATCAAAACCATCCCTGGTGGCGCAGGGGTTAAAGTCTCAGCACTATCAAGCTATCTCCAGCCACAGAGGCATGAGTTCAATCCCCGGCCAGGGAACTGACCCACATGGTGCAGCAGACCTCTCCTATCTCTCTCACTGCTCCCCTTAGCAGCAGATCTGCCTAGTCTGCTCCCCACTCTGTCTTTGGTGAATTCTCTCACATACATACCCCCACACCTCTGACCTATACCCCAGTTCTTGTATGCACAAGTAAATAAATTTTTTAAAAAACTTTTTTTTAAAAAAGCCATCTATTGACATGTTTGTACCTTAGGGCAGAGACTGTGCTAACCATTTTTCCTAACACCATATACATTTAGTAAACATTTGTCGAATAGATTGTATGATGTGTGATGAATGCAATTGTACCTTGTTGTTGTGATGTGTTGTATTCATGACACCTCATGAATGGTTAGTGCAATTGTTGGCTGCTGCCCTTGCTGAACACATCTAATGATAAACTACCAGTGCTTGATGATTGACGCTCCAAGATAGGTAAATTTCTAAAAACCCTTCTCTTATGTTAAGTACTAGCAGCCTATAAGTCACTAGATGTGGAGCAGAGTCTTCCAAAGCAGGCACAACTTTTTCCTCTAAAGAAGGAGGATGGTCATGTTCAAACTGAGCCTCCTTAGGATATCCTCTCTGCTGTCACTGCAGAAAACCCTCAGGGTTCTGGTAAACTGGAGATATATCTGTTTGTGTTTAACCAGACACATGTACCCAGAGGGTACTGGAACAAATGAGGTCAGCTGAGGTTCACACAAGAATCTTCCTGGCTTAGCTGGAGGAATAGAAAGGAAAGCCAGATGCAGAAAGGTCCCAAAGCAAGGCCAAACAGGTTGCTCTGAGCCACAGAAGTTGTATCTCTGGTCCCTTCCTGCTGGCCACCACCTGTACTTTTGATCTCTGGACTTAAGACTCAGAACAAAGTGGTGGCCCCAAGGTCACTGGGCCAGCCTCTGCATTGAAGGCAACCAATATCTCTCCTATCCACCCTGTAAAATCCCCAGAAGCCCACAAAAGAACATAGTCAAGCCCACTGGGCAGTTTCTACCTTATTACCCTCCTCCTATCTTTTGGGCAATCCCATTATTTGGGATCAGATGGCCCTTTACACTCAGAACCAAAATTGACCATCATGACTGAGCCCTAGATAAGAGCAGATGCCCCTCACCAGCTACCTTAGAGCTGGAGGTGGCTGGGGAAGCTTTAGCATCACATGATCTGCCTCCTGTTTCCTGATCTTTCATTTCTCAGCTAGATGCCACCAGGAAAAAGTCACTTCCCTTTTCTGAGTTTCAGACCCAAGCCTAGTCTCCAGTAGCCACAGTTGTCTCCTCTGTATCCTCCCCCCATGCCCACTACACTCCAGGGATGGAGGTAACCACCACCCCTCATTAAGCACTTTTGAATCCTAGGGCAAGTTAGGGATAATTAGGCAGCCTCAAGGACAGTGCAGGGACTTCAGGAGAGTTAAGGAAGGCTCCAGAGATAAGGGCCACAAATTCCAAAGGGTACTATCAAACACCGCAGGACTTATGACATTAGGGACTTACTTTATGACCTTAAAGTCAACAAGACATTCAAATAGAGAGCAATGAACAAATAAAGGGCAATGAAGAAAAAAAGATAAGGGCTGGGACACAGAGACTTAGTTCTGGGCACAGAGACATTTAGGCAGTGAGTGAGACCACTGAGAACTAACCAATCACAAACAGACTGGTGGAGCTTTAGAATAATTAGGGGAAAAAAGTGTATATTCCCTGAGATACGACTCCACATGGGCTTCTTTGCCCCTCCCTGGCCAGGTTCCATCGGCCTGGGAGTCCCACTTTATTTCTGCTCCTTTTCTCCTCAATAAACTTTTTCTTTCTCTAAACAAACCTGCCTCTTCTCGCTTGCTTGCTTGAGTATCTGCGAAGTTCTTGCTGCGGCTTCTTGAGACACCAGCAAGTCCCTAGTGACTGGGACTCAGCGCTGCCACTGCAGCCTGGGATCCATTCCTGGCTGGGAGACTAGGCCTGAAAACCCACAATTCCTGTATCACTTTCATATAAGCATGTTTCAGACTCACCTTACAGCCCTATGAGTTAGGAACTACTTTTATTCCCATTTTACAGTTGGAGAAACTGAGGTTAAGAGCTTGAAGCACCTGTTGACCATCCCTTTTTATTAATACTTTAGCTCTCTACAGGGTTCTATAATTTGTACTGTACTTTCAGGAATGTTCTACCCTTTAATCCCAAGAACACTGAGACTCAGAAAAAGGAAGCAACTTGTTACTGGTGGCACTAGCTGAGAAGTGACAGATCAGGAAACAGAAGGCAGATCATGTGATGATAAAGCTTCCCCAGCCGCCTCCAGCTCTAAAGTAACTGGTTAGGGGCATCTGCTCTTATCTGGGGCTCAGTCGTGATGGTCAATTTTTGGTTCTGAGTGTAAATGGCCATCTGAGTCCAAACTCAGCACCCTTTGCTTGCATGTCACAGATGTCTGGAAGAAATTAAATACTATACCATAGATAAATGATAATGGAGGTGAAACTCAAAAAGTAGAGTGTTCAGAACTACTTCAAGATAGAAATAAGCATCAAGGGCCTTGAAATGGGTAAGATAAGGGGTTGCAAAAGAGGAGAAAAGGTGAGAGCGATGTCAATGACCTTGGCCTTGGTCCCGCTCTCAAAAAAGAACTCTGTGGTTATTTGGTCCAGTCTCCAAACAACACACAAATTTCATCAGTAACTCCCTTATCTCAGGACCTTCTAGATCATTGATTCCCTATTTTAAATACACTCTCAAATAATTTGAAGAGACTTTTTAAAATGCGTATTTTTGAAGAAAGCCTGAATCAGCACATGTAGGTCTCAGATATCAATAGTTTTAATAATCACTCCAGGGCCTCCCCTGGTGGCGCAGGCAGTTGAGCACAGCGCTGTGAAGCTGAACGCAACCTCTGCAGCACCAGTTCAATCCCGGCCGCAGGCAAGGGTTCCACATGGCGCAGCAGACCTCTCCTGTCTCACCCGCTGCTCCCCTCAGCAGTGTATTTCAGTCAGTCTGCCTGTTCTGTTCCCTGCTCTGTCTCTGGTGAATCCTCTCACCCTCCCACGCATCTGGCCTGTACCCCGGTTCTTGTATAAAATAAATAAATAAATCTCAAAAAAAAAAAAATCACTCCAGGTGATTCTATTCTTCATACTTCAAAGTTCTGGATTTTGTATCAGTTATTTTCAATTGAGAGAAACAAAAAACTAAATCCAAAGTGGATGAAACAAGATAATTGATTGAAATAAATTAGAAGAGCAGCATGAGGGTGCGCTTCACAGTCTGATCAGAGCTCTGGCACAGATTCGCTATAGCTTTTGGGTTTTGCCTTCCTCCAGGTCTATCACTTTCACCCTCAGGCTTTTCTCCAGTGCCCAAGATAGTTGCCAAGCAGCAATGCTTTTTGCATGCATCCTCATTCTCAGTCAGAAAGAAGACATTATGTCCCACAACCCTTAAACAAAATGTCCCAAGTTTTACTCTGATCCACTGAGTCAATTCACTGTGGCAAGAGGAATGAGTTTACCTTGATAGGGTTAGACCAGTCAGAGCCATCCTTATCCAAACCACAAGACTGAAAAGTATTATGGAAATATGAATGATGGGAGGTAACCATGTCGCTACAACTTCTAACACTAAGAAATATGAGTGCAATACTGTGTTGATTATCTAACGTATAATACATTACCGTAGAATTCAGCTTAAAACAAGACATATCATTTATTATCTCACTGTGTATGTGCATCAGGAATTTAGGCATGGCTTCACTGAGTTGTCTGCTTTAGGATCTCCCCCAAGGCTGCAATTAAGATATGGATCAGCAAGGGCTGCAGTCTTCTCTCAAGGATCCACTGGTGAAGGCTCTGCTCCCAACCTCACACAGCAGGATTGGCAGTATTCAGTTCCTTGAAGGCTATTGGAATGAGAACCCCAGATCATTGCTGGCGGCTGGAGGCTGCCTCAGCTCTTGGCCAGGTAGCATACCATAAGGACCTACAAAATCAGGCTTTTGCATGCTAATAGTAGAAGTGACATCCCATCAATTTCACCATGTTGTCTGCAAAAGCAAGTCACTGGATTCAGTCCACATTTGAGAGGTAAATATGAGGAGGCAGAGATCTCTGGGAGCCAAGTCAGTAGCTGCCTACTATACTTACAAAATAGCTCCATCTATTGCTAAGTCATTGTAATTATTTAAAGAGGTGTTTTGTTTTGTTTTGTTTTTTAACTTTTAAACATGAGTCACAGTTATACACCCACCTATTATTTTTTTTAAGATTTATTTCTTTATGCATACAAGAACTGGGGTGTAGGCAAGAGGGGGTGAGAGGATTCACCAGAGACAGGTGGTGAGCAGAACAGGTGGATCTACCGAAATACACTGTTGAGGGGAGCAGCAGGTGAGACAGGAGAGGTCTGCTGCACCATGTGAGTTAGCTCCCTGGCCAGGATCAATCTCAGGCCACAACGGTGATAAGGGATAGCACTGAGATTTAACCCCTATGCCACCAGGGAGGCCTCTAAACCTATTTTAAATTGAAGCCTAATAATGTGTCTATCTACACACACACTAAAGCAAATGTTTCACAAAATATTTACCACTACTACGGGTGGCATTTTCTTTCACAAAAAATGAGGAACTGTACAATTCTTGCTGTATCAGACAAGATAGACTCAGTTAGATAGACTTCAATAACAATACAAACTCTCAGGGGCCTAACACAACTGTTATTTTTCACTCTTGCCACATGTCTACTGCATGTCCACAGGGGGCTACTCAAATACAATCACTTGGGCACTCAGGCTGAAGTAGGTTCCATCTCAATAAATGTTTCCATGTTCACTACGGCCAGAATGACATGGTAAATCTGAATCTCATTCTCAAAGCTTTCATGCAGAAATGACACATACCACTTCCACTAATATTTCATAGAAAAGCCATGCAGTCAGGCCCAATGGCAGAGGAAGTAGGGAAGGCAATTCTGCTAAGTGACCAGGAGGAAAAGTAACTAGTTATCTATGGTAAGTCCCAATGCTTACCATGCCCACAAAATTGATTTCTTGATCCCAAATGAATCATGGTTGTAAATCATGGTTCAGAAAACACTAATTTAAAGGTTTTCTTATGTTGATTTGCAATTTAGCTCACTATAACTTCTATCGTACCTGGCCCTGTCCCCAGGGACACTCAAAACATATCTGCTTCCTCTGCCTCAGAAGAGTCCTATTTTCAGAGATGGCATCTTTCTTGCCCACATCTTCCACTTTTCTGGCTTAATATTCTCAATTCTGGGCCTCCCTGGTGGTGCAAGGGGTTAAGAGGCAACCTATGAAGCTATCCGCATCCACTGCAGCACGAGTTCGATCCCCCGCCAGGGAGCAACCCACATGGCGCAGCAGACCTCTCCTGACTCGTCTGCTGCTTCCCCCAGCCGTGTATTTCAGTCAATCTTCCTGTTTTATTCCCCACTCTGTCTCTGGTTACTCCTCTCACCTGCCACACCTCTGGCCTGTACCCCAGTTCTTGTATGCATAAATAAATAAACCTTTAAAAAATATTCTCAATTCTCCCAATTCTTCTTAGACTAGGACTCTCAGTTCCCTCTTCATTCTGGTCACCCTCCTCAGACCACACCTGATTTTCCAAATGAGTTCCTAGCATTTCTTCAAAGCATGGCCTGAGTAGCTTGGAGTTCAGCTGTACCAGTTTACTCAGAGATAAAGGCTGAGTAAGCTGAAGAATAAGACTGACCTTCAGAAATATTTTCTGTTGAGCCAGTTATTTAATTTCCTCATTCAGCAAATACTACTGATAATCAGATTCCAAGTGGGAGGCTTCTGGAAATCTGATCAGATCATATTCTGGCTTAAAACTCCTGCAATGGTTTCCAATTACTCAGGATAAAATACCCACTCCAGTGCAGCTGGCTTCTCTAACCTATTTCACAACCATATCCATTTCTCCGTGCTGCAGCATATTAGACCTCTTTCAGGCACTGAAATACTGAAATATACTCTTTTCTGCCTCAGGAGCTTCAGTTGTGATTTCTCTGTGAGAACACCTCCCGTCCCCTGCCCCACCACATGTCAACACCAGCACCTTCTGCTTCACTGATCTATAAGTCTTCCTTTTCCTCCAGGCTACCTTAGGTCCCCCATATTTATGCATTCCATAATTCTCTCAGTATTTTGCTCACTCAAAATTTAATTGTAATTCATTTGCTACTACATGTCTACATTACTCACTAGATTGTACAACCCAGGAAAACAAAAACCTTTTCTATCCTGCTCATCACTCTCTCTAGGTTTTGATCTAGCACATAAGAGATACTCAATATGTACCGACTACCTAGTAAGTATCAAGGATGCAAAAATAAATACTAGGGCCTCCCTGGTGACTCAGGGGGTTAAGCGTCAGCACTATGAAGCAATCCGCAGGCATTGAAGGATGAGTTCAATCCCATGCCAGGGAGGTGACCCATATGGCGCAGCAGACCTCTCCTGCCTCACCCACTGCTCCCCTCAGCAGTGTATTTCATTCAATTTGCCTGTTCTGTTCCCCACTCTGTCTCTGATGAATCCTCTCACCCCTGCATTTCTGGCCTGTACCCCAGTTCTTGTATGCATAAATAAATACTAGCTTCCTGTCCCAAATAATACCCAGTTTGGGATGAAAAGAGAAAAATAGGGCCTCCCTGTTGGGGCAGGCATTTGAGCGCAGCGCTGTGAAGCTGTCAGCACCCTCTGCAGTGCTGGTTCAATCCCGGCCAGCTGGGGAGATACCCACATGGTGCCGCAGACCTCTCCTGTCTTGCCCGCTGCTCCCCTCAGCAGTGTATTTCGGTTTGTCTGCCTGTTCTATTACCCACTTTGTCTCTGGTGAATCCTCTCACCCTCCCGCACATCTGGCCTGTACCTGGTTCTTGTATGCATGAATAAATAGATCTTTAAAAAAGAGAAAAATAGTAAGTGCTATATTCACCGTGTATTCTGAGGGCTGGGGAAGCATAGAAGAACAAATCAGTCCATTGTAGAGGGGTCAGGACAAGGTTCTCGGAGTGCTTAGAAATTTGGGCTATCAAGAACAGAGAGAAAAGGGCATTCAGATAGAAAAGACCATGTGTCGGGCCTCCCTGATGGCGCGGGCGGTTGAGCGCCACCCTGTGAATCTGTCCGCAGCCTCTGAAGCACAGGTTCAATCCCAGCTGGCTGGCGAGAATCCCACATGGCGTGGCAGACCTCTCCTATCTCGCCCACAGCTCCCCTCAGCAGTGTATTTTTCGTCAGTCTGCTTGTTCTGTTCCCTGCTCTAGCTCTGGTGAATCCTCTCACCCTCCCGTGCATCTGGCCTTTACCCTGGTTCTTGTATAAATAAATAAATCTTTTAAAAAAAAAAACAAAACACCATGTGTCATGGCACAGAAGCATCAGGGAGGGGAGCATCAGGCTGGGATACTAAACATTGAAAGCTAGAAACTTGACAATAACCTAATCTAACTATATTCCCTCTAGCCCATTCTATCACCCCACATGTGGAAATCACTATCCTGCATCCCACAGAGAGCTCATTCTTTCCTTTCTACGTGGTTTTACTGCATATTTGTTCTTTTAAAATGTCTTTCTCCTTGGGCCTCCCTGGTGGCGCAAGGGGTTAAGTCTCAACACTATCAAGCTATCAGCAGCCACGACAGCACAAGTTCGATCCTCAGCCAAGGAACCCAAATGGTGCAGCAGACCTCTCCTGTCTTGCTTGCTGCTCCCTTTAGCAGTGTATTTCAGTGTGCCTGTTTCGCTTCCCACTCTGTCTCTGGTGAATCCTCTCATCCACTGCACCTCTGGCCTACACCCCTGCTCTTGTATGCATAAATAAAATAAATCTTTAAAAAAAAGGTCTTTGTTAGTTGTATTTACCTTTATAACACCAGTCATCAAGAAACACCAATGGGGGCCTCCCCTGGTGGCGCATCAGCGGTTGAGTGCTGGGCTGCGAAGCTGCCCGCAGCCTCTGCAGCGCCGGTTCGATCCCCTGCTGCCGGGCAAGGGTCCCACATGGCGCGCAGACCTCTCCTGCCATGCCCACTGCTCCCCTCAGCAGTGTACTTCGTCACTCTGCCTGTTCTGTTCCCTGCTGTGGCTCTGGTGAATCCTCTCACCCTCCTGCGATTCTGACTGTACCCAGTGCTTGTATAAATAAATAAATAAATCTTTAAAAAAAAAAAAAAAAGAAACGCCAATGAAAACCACCAAGACACACCCACAAGGATAAAATTTGAAAGTTAAAATACCAAGTGCTAACAAGGATATGGAGCAGTCATCTATCTTTGGATAGAATCACCATGATCTGTGTGAGGAATCTTTACTTGGGAGAGCTCAAATTATAAGTTCCCAGCAGGGTTTTTATGCTACCCTGGCCATGTAATCAAGCCAAACAACTGTAATCAGTTAGGCAGTTGTAAACGATCAGAGTAAAGACAATGACCACGGGAGTCATCTGGGAAGCTTTAGACTTTAAATGGCACATTAGAAATCCCAATGTTCTTACCTTTGTCAAGGGCAAAAAACCAGACATCCCAATAAAGATAGAGGTTTTGCAATCCAGCTATAAAGCAACTCTATTCTCCACAACACAAAATTCTAGAATAGGCAAAACTATAGTGACAGAAGGCAGATCAATGATTACCTGGGACAAAGGTGGGGCAGGGGATTTAGAGCAAAAGAACATAAGGAAATTTTTTAGGAGATGGAATTATTTTCTGTATTTTGATAGTGATGATGTTTACACTATCACAAACAAATTGTCAGAATTCATTATGTTTAAAAATTTAAATTATATTGTATCTAGATAAAAAGGAAGTTTTTTTATTTTTATTTTTTTAAAAAGATTTATTTATGCATACAAGAGCTGGGGTACTGGCTAGAGATGTGGGAGGGTGAGAGAATTCACAAGAGATAGAGTGAGGAGCAGAACAGGCAGATTGACCAAAGTACACTGCTGAGGGGAGCAGCGGGCGAGTCAGGAAAGGTCTGCTGCGCCATGTGGGTTTCACCCTGGCCGGCTGGGGATCGAACTCGTGCTGCAGAGCTGCGGATTGCTTCATAGTGTAGTGCTTAACCCCTTGCGCCACCAGGGAGACCCAAAAGGAAGTTTTTTTTAAAAGAACATGCTGCATTTCATCTTTGAAACTAAACTTTTTCCTTTTTTTTACATGAAGATTAATACACATTGTTATGTGTCACTGTGGTTCATTTGTTTGACAACTATGTAATATTCCATTGTGCAAATATTCCAATTTATTTGTCCATTCTCTTGCTCATGGGCATTTTGGTTTGCTTTTGTGAACAGGACTGCAGGTGCTCACTGGTGTACATGTATTAGTTTCTCTTGGATTTATTCCTAGTAGTGTAATAACTGGATTGCAGGATAGGTAAATGTTTAATTATAGAAGTAGTTCTTTGCTTTTTTTACCTGGGTCTGTCTGTCCCCAATTAGACTGGACCCCAGAGGCAGGAGACCCTATCCTCTTAAATTATCACTGTTTAGCATTCAATTAGTACCAGACTGGATACCCAGGAGGCCAAGGGTAGAAGCCCAGGCACCTGAGGGCTCCCAGACTCAGCAAATACTAAGTGCAGAACAGCAGGCAGGAACCATATACTATACATGGAGACTAATTAGAATCTCACTTCCTAGAGCTCTTTCTTCCTAGGTTCACTCAATTTTGAGTCTGGAAGGTGTTCTAGGGCCCTCAGTTATAATGCAAACCCCAACAAAGGAGAAGCTTAACCTCATCTAAAATCCTTCTCAGCTGACACCTCTAATACCCAAATAAAGATTAACAAAAAGGGCATAAAGAACAAAGGGAGTGACAGAAGAAGAGGGGGGCTAAGAGGAAAGAACACAAGTATTTTAAAATTATGTACCCTTTTCTGCACAAGAACCAATTTTTCAAAAAAAAATTTTTAATGAAATAAAGCAATATCTGCAAGTGACTATGAGAGATTTTTAATATCCTTGCCATTAAAGGATTGCCTTCTTTGTGCTAGAGTTATAATACAACATAACTAGCACATAGTAGGTAAATGATGTAATGTTGCCCCCAAACACATTATGTGAGGTGAGGCCCTGTGTGACTTCAGGGAAGAGCTATGAGGGATTTGGGAGTGGGCCAAAGAACTGGCACCAGAGCTCAGCCACAGAACAGGAACAAAGGGGGGAAAAAAAACAAAACAGACTACAACAAAACAAGACACAGGAGATTCCCAGGTGCTCAGAAAGCAAATGGCAAATGGCAAATCCTTTGCCATTCCAAAGGATGAGGAAGCCTTTTTATATCCATCTGCCCCATCTCCAGCAGCTCCCTGGCTAACTGCCATGCAGGAGCTCGAGGAGACCTGATAGAAGAATAAACAATGAGAAAAAAACATAAAAAAGTAACACAGTCCTATGGCGAAACAGCTTCCCCAGCCACATGGCAACAGTGCTGTTGACAGCAGGAGGAATGGCTGTAATTATTTAGCTCAAGAGCTTTCTCAACATTAAGGAGATTAGTATGCATTGGCTTGACACCTTTAGTTACTTGTTCCTTAAATTAGATCATGGGGCATATGGAGAAAGTAGGTATGCTTGTTTGGGCCCACAGATCACACAGAACTCATCTCAAGACAGGGGCTTTGCACCCAGGCTATCCTGAGCTTCGGGCACCTGGGAGCTAGTGTTCAGTGGCAGTAGCTGGTACAAATGAAACTAATAATACTTGGACTGACATGAGGTCCCCAACTACAGCCCCAGCTCTATGGAGCTTCAACAATTTTATTGGCTGAATGCTTCTTCCCAATTTTACAGCTTAAAGTGTGCTCTGTGGCCAGCTAACTGGCTCTTCTTCCTAAGCCCCTAATGGCCCAGGAACCTTAAGCACAGGCTTGGAGACGGGGGAGGAAGCAAACTAAGTTAGAAACCTGCTGTTGCTCCACAAATGGACAGCAGGACCAAAAAATACCTACTTCCTATGGCTGAAAACTGTCTATAGAATGATTTGCATATGATGAAGATAAAACCCAGAGTGCATCTTTGCCACTGGTTTCAATTTCTGGTACCTCCACAGGAGTACGCCCTGTGTCTCCCCTACATCAGGGCTCCAAGGACAGGGTGATGCTATGTCAGTCTACACATTTTGCAAAAGTACATAGGCCCAAAATTGGCCATGAGATTTGGGATTACCATCTCCCCAACTTGGCAGGATGGGAAGAAAGAGAATGTATCCATAAAATGCTTTCGGAAGTGAGTCAGGTCTTCAACCTGAACCTTGATGCTGTATTGATTGGCCAGGAGCTCGATGGCACCTTGCACCACATACTCGTTCTGTAAGTGTGAGAGTGAACAGGTAGAATAGACAACGTGGCCTCCTGGCTTGGTGGCAAGAAGTCCAGCCCTGAAACCAGAAAGAGAGAAGCAGTAATTGGTGATGTTCCCAGGAGCAGAAAGGCAACAGAAGAAACTGGTAGCATTGATGGGGGAGTCTATTATGAGATGGGAAGCGGCATTAGACAGGCTCTGTAGTCCCTTTCACGACAAGGCCTGAAAAGTCATTTTTAAGGCAGAGAGCAATCCAACCTTAGTCCATGGACCTTCTTAAAACAATCTACTGAGCTCTGACTCCGGTTATGGATTAGACCCTGATGCTATGGTTTGAGCCCTTATCCCAATCTTATACCTTGACCTCAGTAACTATTTTTCGAACTTGTGCTAATCACTAGTACGGGGACTGTCATGAGGGGTAAGACAGCCTAAATGAGTCTGGCAGTCCACCCTGCTATGTATGTCCTGCCATAAAGAGTTTTTATGTTCCAAAGTATAACTATTCCACGATGTCCATTCCATTCCTCCAGGCAGCTCCCCAGACAGAAGACCCTTTTATGAAAAGCAAGAGCTTCCAGTTCCCTAGTTCCCCAGGCCCCCTAGATGACCAGACCCCCAGCACATTCTGACACAAAGTCTCAAGTTTTTGTAAATCTATCACTCACGCAAGAAGCTGCACCTGCAGCATAGGCAACATCTGACGCTCCTTCTTCCTGGACCTCTGAAAGATGTTGTTCTCCTCTTCATGAAGGGAGTGGCGGTCTGTAGTACAGGGCACATCCACCAGCACCTGACCAAAAGCGTTAAGGGTAAAGTATTAGAACTCCTTACAGACTCCTCTTCCTCAGGTCAGGGCTGGTTTAGGTCCCTGGTCTGGTGTTTTTGCAGAGTGCTCTCTATGCCCATTCTTCCACAGAATTCCTGATTTTAACCTGGTAGACAACTGTGAAATAATAAATAGGAAAATAGTATATTTAGGCATACTCATAGCCAGCCAAAATACCAAGCCCAACACACAAATAGTAATAATTAATCAACCTAGAAATAAGACTTTAGTGTTTCACAGCTCTGTCCTTGGGTCCACCCATTGGTACTGGAATGAAAACATCCAATTTAGATATAATAATGCCCAGAGGGTAACTTATACACTAAATAACAGGACCAGGATTCAAAATTATATGACAACATCATATGCAACATGGACGAGTTTTAAAATGAGAAATGTAAAATCAATCATTCATTTACTAAGAGCCTACTCTACACTAGTCACTAGAGACAAAAACAAAAATTGAGAAAAGTCTGTGAATTTTTAGTTAAGCAGAAACTCTAAGCGAATAACAATCCAGTGTTCAATAGTCTGATGTATTCCTAGGCTCCATGAGTTGATACTGTGCCTACAGAGTAAGAGACATGATTAACTTATATGCTGGTCAGTTATACCTCAAGAACTGTAATGGCCATTATAGGACAGCAATTATAGGAAAAAGAGACTAACCAAAAAGGGATGCCCAGAGAAGAGGTTCTAGGATGTTTAAAAACCATAATATGGAGGAATCAGTGCAAAGTGTCTGGGAGGAGAGCTGGACCAGCTTGGCCTCTTGGCCAAGGTTTCTACTTAAGTGCAAATAATGCAATCACCAGGATTCTTCAGAGGCTCTTCAGGTTCTCCTCTCTCACTCACTGCAATCTCACTCTATTTCAAGAGGAACACTGGTGCTACAGCCATGGCATTTGATAAGGAACTTGATCCTGTACAGAAAAGCTTTGTGGATAACATTAGACAATACAAAAGTAAGCAACAGGGGCCTCCCCAGTGGCGCAGTGGTTGAGCGCTGGGTTGCGAGGCTGCCCGTGGCCTCTGCGGCGCCGGTTCGATCCCCGGCTGCTCCCTGGCCACAGGAGGAGGGTCCCGAATGGCGCGCAGACCTCTCCTGCCGCCCACTGCTCCTCTCAGCAGTGTACTTCGGTCCTTCTGCCTGCTCTGCTGCCCACTCTGGCTCTGGTGAATTCTCTCACCCTCCCGCGCTTCTGACTGTACCCAGTGCATGTATAAATAAAAAACAAACAAACAAATAAATAAATAAATAAAGATGCCTCTAAAAAATAAAGTAAAATAATAGAAACAAACAAACAAAAAAAAACCAAAAAAACTAAGCAACAGGCATCTGGAGGACCTGTTTATACTAGCCCAGAGTATCAGCAAGAGTTGGATAGGGAGTTTTTTAAGTTTAAGCAAATGTATGGAAGAACAGATAAGACTGTGCCCTAACCTTACATTTGAAGAGCCCAGGATTGAAGTCATCGAAAAAAATTCATTCCTGAAGAAATGATGTAAAATTTATTTGGTAATTTGTCCTACATTAGTTTTGCAACTGATGAGAAATATCAAAATAAACACACATTTCACCTCTGTCAAGAAAAAAGGAACCATATCATAAAAGAAATTAATACCTATTCCTAACAATGTAGTTAACTCAATATCCTAAAAACCTGTGATAAAAAAATACACCTAAAAACACTGGATAAAATATTTTTAAAAATACTTTTAGAAGTACTTTTAAATGCATAGCTCATAGGAAATTAGGGAAATCCTCAGAAGTTAAAGAAAAAGCAGGAGCACAATCTAGAGAGGCATCCAGCACTGAAGCCAATGGCTTCTATCTTTTACCAATCCCTGGTAACCTGAAGCCTTTGAACATAGAAAAAAAAAAGGGGGGCATTAGGCTACTTGAGATAGGGAACTGAAATGGAAATCCATAACAATGTCAAAATCCTCAAAGGATTACAAGCTCAACCAGGGAGAACTAGGGAGAAAATAAACACAGCCCACAATGAAAGACAAGAGAACTTGTCTGTTTTTAACTTTGCGCATAAGTTGGGGAGAGATGGAGTTACCCAGAGTGTATGGAACTGTGACATAGTATTCTTTGTAACTAACATGCTCAGTGCTTATTTAACACACAGTATGTTGTACACAGCTCTGCTCAACAGATAAATTAATGAAGACTTTATTAGGACCTGAATGTTGTTTTAAATATCTGAAGGGGGCCTCCCCGGTGGCGCAGCGGTTGAGCGCTGGGTTGCGAAGCTGCCCGCAGCCTCTGCAGCGCTGGTTCGATTCCTGGTTGCCCCCCGGCCACTGGAGGAGGGTCCCACATGGCGCGCAGACCTCTCCTGCCACCCGCTGCTCCCCTCAGCAGTGTACTTCGGTCCTTCTGCCTGCTCTGCTCTCCGCTCTGGCTCTGGTGAATTCTCTCACCCTCCCGCGCTTCTGACTGTACCCAGTGCTTGTATAAATAAATAAATAAATCTTAAAAAAATAAATAAATAAAATATCTGAAGGACTTTCAAGGACTTTCTATACTGTTCCAGAAGGCAATGCTAGATTAATGAATAGAAATAATAAAAATAATGGTAACTGTGATGATGCCAATAATATTAAATGCTTTCTATATGTAAGGCACTGTGCCAAATGCATTCTATTTAATCTTTACCTATGAGCTAGGCACTACTATTATCTTCATTTTACAGATGAGGAAGCTAAAGCTTAACTGAAAGGTTAACTTGCCCAAATTTCTCTAGCTGGCAAGTGATAGAGCCAGGACTCCAAGCATTCTAACTCCAGAATCCTGGTACTTAACCATATATTATATAAACTACAAATTTTAATTTACTGAGAGGAAGAACTTTCTAACATTAAAGGTATTTAACCACAGAATCTCTGTGAGCCCCATCCATGGAAGTGTGCAAGCACAGGCTGAATATTGATAATGGCCACTACCTATCTAATCTTCATGGCTAGGTACTATGCTAAGTATTTTCCCTGGATATTATTGTTGAATCCTCATAATAATCCTATATAGTAGTATTCCCTATTTTACAAATGAAGAGGTTGGAGTTCAACAAGATCAAGCAGCTTTTCATCAATAAGTAAGTGGCAGCCCTGTGTTTCAGAAACAGTTTAGGCTTGACAGCAGAGGTCAAGCATGTTCCACTCTGTTCTGCTGCCTCTGTGCCAAAAAAGCTCAGAAGAGGATTCCTACACAGGCAGGAAGCAGGTCTTTCAAGCTTATCTAAGATTCTATATACACACTGGTTTTTCTTTTCATTTCTTAGACAGTTGAAGCAGAATGGTGACAATCAGATTAGATAAATGAGTCAAAACAGCACAAAGACAATAGCTATATATAGTTTATATTTTTAGAAGTTTGTTTTTTTGGTTTTTTTTTTAAAGATTTATTTATTTATTTATTTATTTATTTATTTATTTATTTATTTATTTATTTATACAAGCACTGGGTACAGTCAGAAGCGAGGGAGGGTGAGAGAATTCACCAGAGCCAGAGCGGGGAGCAGAGCAGGCAGAAGGACCGAAGTACACTGCTGAGGGGAGCAGCGGGCGCCATGTGGGACCCTCCTCCGGTGGCCGGGGAGCAGCCGGGGATCGAACCGGCACTGCAGAGGCTGCGGGCAGCTTCACAACCCAACGCTCAACCACTGCGCCACCGGGGAGGCCCAGAAGTTTATGTTTTAAATGACTCTTTTAGAATATGCCTAGTAAAAGAAAATAAAAATAGCTTAAAAATATGACTTTCAACATCATTAATAATAAGAGAATGTAAATTAGATGGTATCAATTTGGGAAAAATAAAAACAATGCTGACAATACCAATGGTGGCAGGATATGGGCAAATGGCATTCTTATTCATTATCAGTAGAAATGAATCTGATTTAATCTCCACAAAGAGCAATTCAGTAACCTCTATTAAAATTTGAGGGCCTCCCCGGTGGCGCAGCAGTTGAGCACTGGGTTTCGAAGCCGACTGCAGCCTCTGCAGCGCCGGTTCAAACCCCAGCTGCTCCCCGGCCACCGGAGGAGGGTCCCACATGGTGCGCAGACCTCTCCTGCCGCCCGCTGCTCCCCTCAGCAGTGTACCTTGGTCCTTCTGCCTGCTCTGCTCCCCGCTCTGGCTCTGGTGAATTCTCTCACCCTCCCGCGCTTCTGACTGTACCCAGTGCTTGTATAAATAAACAAATAAATAAATCTTTAAAAAAAAGAAGTATTTATTAAAAAAAATAAATAAATAAAATAAAATTTGAAATGCACACAAACTGTTATCCACCAAGTGTACTTCAAAACTTGAATTAAACTAAAAATGATTGAACTAGGACTCACTGGTGGCACAAGAAGTTTAGATGCAGCACTATGAAGCTGTCTGACACCACTGCAGCACGAGTTCGATCCCTGGCCAAGGAGCTACCCACATAGCACAGCAGACCTCTCCTGTCTCATCCGCTGCTCCCCTCAGCAATGTATTTCAGTCATTCTGCTGTTCTGTTCTCCACTCTGTCTCTGGTGAATCCTCTCACCCCCCACACTTCTGGCCTGTGCCCCAGTTCTTCTATGCATGAATAAGTAAATCTTTTAAAAAATAAATAAATAAAAATGATTGTGCTTCATTATTATATGAAAAAAGTACAAAGTTCAAAATAACTAGTATATTATCATTCCTATTTTTTATTTTTTGGTTTTTGTTTTTTAAAGATTTATTTATTTATATAAGCACTGGGGTACAGGTCAGAGGCGCAGAAGGGTGAAAGAATTCACCAAGGACAAAGCAGGGAGCAGAACAGGCAGATGGACCGAAATACACTGCTGAGGGGAGCAGCGGGTGAGACAGGAGAGGTCTGCCGTGCCATGTGGGAATCTCCCTGCCAGTCAGGAATTGAACCGGTGCTGCAGAAGCTGAGGACAGCTTCATAGCGCTGTGCTCAACCCGAGCACCGCCAGTGAGGCCCCATTCCTATTTTTTATATACATACACATATATATTTGTATATATGAGTATATTTTAAAGACTACAGAAAAAAATACAAATGATGGTCATCTGTAGGAAGAGGTAGTAGATTACTGTAAGACACATAAGTGGGAGGGCCTTCCCCTGGTGGCGCAGGCGGTTGAGCACAGCACTGTGGGGCTGTCCGCAGCCTCGGCAGTGTGGGTTTGATCCCCGGCCGGCCGGCCGGCAAGAATCCCACACGGCGCAGTAGACCTCTCCTGTTTTGCCCGCTGCTCCCCTCAGCAGTGTATTTCAGTCAGTCTTCTTGTTCTGTTCCCCGCTCTGTCTCTGGTGAGTCCTCTCACTCTCCCACACATCTGAACTATATCCTGGTTCTTGTACGTATGAATAAATAAATCTTAAAAAATAAAAAGACACCAGGCCTCCCCAGTGGCGCAGTGGTTGAGCGCTGGGTTGCAAAGCTGCCCGCAGCCTCTGCAGCGCTGGTTCGATCCCTGGCTGCTCTCCAGCCACTGGAGGAGGGTCCCACATGGCACGCAGACCTCTCCTGCCGCCCGCTGCTCCCCTCAGCAGTGTACTTCGGTCCTTCTGCCTGCTCTGCTCCACGCTCTGGCTCTGGTGAATTCTCTCACCCTCCCGCGCTTCTGACTGTACCTACCCAGTGCTTGTATAAATAAATAAATAAATCTTTAAAAAATATATAAAATAAAAAATAAATAAAAAAAAATAAAAAGACACCTAAGTGGGAAATGTACTTTTCATTGTATACCCTTTGGCACCTTCTGAATTTCCACAAGGTGCTATATTAATTATCTTACTGAGGGTTTTTTTAGGTGTTAGAAATGAAGCATTATTGTACTTGAAAGTCCACACTCAAGAGTGAGTATGGGAAGATTCAGAGGAGAATTGTTTAATGACAATTATGAGCCACCAAGTGAGCTGAAAGAATAAGCCTAATAACTTTTTTTCCTACTCAGTCAGGTTCAAACTCTAGTTTGCCAACTATCTCTAATGAAGATAGTAGTATGTCATCTAGGTTGAAAATTCTGCAGATGGCTATTTTCTCCAAACCACCCAGGGAGAGCTAGCCAGAAACAACCTTCTATGCTCAAATATGTAGGGCTGACTTCCACTCCCTCAGAGTCCAGAGTCAGGATGAAGAAGCCAGATGTGGCTAGCTGGGTATCCCAGGTCAGGAATCACTCACCCGGTCATAGGTGTCCCCCTCCAGTTCTCCCCACTTCCTGCCATCCCATGAGGTAACTCGAACTCGATTCCCATCTCTAATATCTTGCGGCACATAGCTGTGAAGGATCTTCTGTAGTCTGCCAGTTCGGGAAGTGGAGAGATCATTGGCAGCAAGATTGCCTGGAGAAAAGAAAATTTTAGGAAATTTTAGCAAAAGTAAATTTTAGTAAATTTTTTACCATTTCTATAAAAGATGTCAGTAGAGCCTTTTTTTTTTTTAATCAATTGTGTTTCATTTTTTTTTTTTTTAAGATTTTATTTATTTATCCAAAAACTGGGGTACAGGTCAGAGGCGCAGGAGGGTGAGAGAATTCACCAGAGACAGAGCAGGGAGCAGAACAGACAGACAGATCGAAGACACTGCCGAGGAGAGCAGCGGGCAAGGCAGGAGAGGTCTGCCATGCCATGTGGGTTTCTCCCTGGCCAGCAGGGAATCGAACCCGTGCTGCAGAGGCTGCGGACAGCTTCACAGCGCGTCACTCAACCCGCTGCACCACCGGGGAGCCTTTTTAAAGGTTTATTTATTGGGCCTCCCCGGTGGCGCAGCGGTTGAGCGTTGGGTTGCGAAGCTGCCCGCAGCCTCTGCGGCGCTGGTTCGATCCCCGGCTGCTCCCCAGCCACTGGAGGAGGGTCCCACATGGCGCGCAGACCTCTCCTGCCGCCCGCTGCTCCCCTCAGCAGTGTACTTCAGTCCTTCTGCCTGCTCTGCTCCCCGCTCTGGCTCTGGTGAATTCTCTCACCCTCCCATGCTTCTGACTGTACCCAGTGCTTGTATAAAAACAAACAAACAAACAAATAAATAAAACATGCCTCTATTAAAAAAAAAAAAAAAAAGATTTATTTATTTATTTATTTATTTATGAACTGAATTTATTTATGTAAGAACTGAGATGTAAGCCAGAGGTACAAGGGGTAAGAGGATTCAGTGGAGACAGAGTGGGGAGCAGAACAGGCAGATCTACTGAAATACACTGCTAAAGGGAGTAGCAGGTGAGACAGGAGAGGTCTGCTGCGCCATATGTGGGTTAGCTCCCTGGTCAGGGATCAAACTTAGGCCGCAGCAGTGACATACTGAAACTTTTTTTTTTTTTTTTAAGAGGCATGTATTTATTTATTTGTTTGTTTGTTTGTTTGTTTGTTTGTTTGTTTGTACATGCACTGGGTATAGTCAGAAACGCAGGAGGGTGAGAGAATTCACCAGAGCCAGAGCGGGGAACAGAGCAGGCAGAAGGACCAAAGTACACTGCTGAGGGGAGCAGCGGGCGGCAGGAGAGGTCTGCGCACCTTGTGGGACCCTCCTCTGGTGGCCGGGGAGCAGCCAGGAATTGAACCGGCACCGCAGAGGCCGCAGGCAGCCTCGCAACCCAGCGCTCAACCACTGCGCCACCAGGGAGGCCCTGACATACTGAAACTTAACCCCTAGGCCACGGAAAAGGCCCAAGATGTCAGTAGAGTCTTAATGGAGATTGCATTGATTCCATTGGTGGCTTTGGGTAGAATAGACATTTTATGCCTTAAGAATAAAGAAACTGGGCCTCCTTGGTGGTGCAAGGAGTTAAGCCTCAGTACTATGAAGCCACCAGCAGCCACTGCAGCTTGTGTTCAATCCCTGGCCAAGAATTAACCAACATGGTGCAGCAGACTTCTCCTGTCTCACCCGCTGCTCCCCTCAGCAGTGTATTTCAGTAGATCTGCCTATTCTGCTCCCCACTCTGTCTCTGGTGAATCTTCTCACACACCCCCACCCTTGCACCTCTGGTCTACACCCCAGTTCTTGCATGCATAAATAAAATAAATCTTAAAAAAGAAAGAAAGAAACTTCAGAGGCCGTGTAACCAATGAAACACTCTACCAGCAATGGGACTAATGCAGTCAGATCAATTTTCAGGCAGAGACAATCACTGCAGACTTAAGGGCAGACAGAAGAGAAATACTTATTTGTACGGCACAGCACTAGACATGCTGGAGTAGTAGTTGCAAAGACAAACACTTACACAGGCCAAAAAGGTTAAATAAATAAATCAATGAACCAGGTAGACTATCTCTAGAAAAATATGCTCTTTACTTTTCTCAAAACATGTGTCTCTCTTTATCTTTAGTAGACCCTACATATTATTTACCCAAAATTTATTCTCCTCGTGTGTGTGTGTGTGTGTGTGTGTTTGTGTGTTTGTATGTGTGTGTGTGTGTGTGTGAAAACAGGGAATAATGTGCCCCAAAAGACCACATTTCTCAGTCTCCTTTCACAACTAAGTACAAACTGTCTGACCAGATTTTGGTCAATGAGTTGTAGGTAGAATCACTTTGGGGAACTTCTGGGAAGATGCTGACACAAATGGGAGATATGCCTCTTTTGCCCGGTCTTACCTTCCTACCTCGAATTTAAGTATGATGACTAGAGTTCTAGCAGCCATCCTGGACCATAAGTCAATCCTGAGGATGGCAGCCAGCAATGAAATAGGTTGCAAAAAAAAAAAGGAGTCCTGATGACTGTGGAGCCTCTGTACAAGCTCTGAACTACCCATATCCCAACTTATCTTATATAGAGAAAAATAAACTTTTCTTCTTTAAACTAGCTAGTTAAGTTTTCTACTGTATACAACCAAACTTAATCCTAACTGGTTCATAATCTAATCTCCTATTTTCCCTTTTGTGATTAGACATGGGTCCAAAGAACTTTACTCTTGGCTCTACTATAAGAAAAAATATTACTGAAAACTTGAAAACAAAAAATATCGATAATTGATACCTGGTCTCAGAGTTAAGGAGCAAATGGCAAGGAGAGAACTGTGGTAGAAAACTGAAGACTGCAGACTTTATTAAATGGAAGTAGTTACTAGTATGAATCAGCTTGTATTTCTATAAAGAAATATGCTCCCAATTTTTTTTTTAAAAAGATTTATTTATTTATTTATACAAGCACTGGGTACAGTCAGAAGCACAGGAGGGTGAGCGAATTCACCAGAGCCAGAGCGGGGAGCAGAGCAGGCAGAAGGGCCAAAGTACACTGCTGAGGGGAGCAGCGGGCAGCAGGAGAGGTCTGCGCGCCATGTGGGACCCTCCTCCAGTGGCCGGGGAGCAGCCGGGGATCGAACCAGCGCCGCCGCAGAGGCTGCGGGCAGCTTCGCAACCCAGCGCTCAACCACTGCGCCACCAGGGAGGCCCCATGCTCCCAATTTTTGAGAGCACTGAAAGATATAAAAATTGAGTTCTCTGTTTAAGAGGAATTTGTAACAGGATATGAACTATCAATAGAAAACCTGGGTTGCAGTTCTTGCTCTACCCCCAATCAATGTTAAAAATTAAAGCTATTGGGCCTCCCCGGTGGCGCAGCAATTGAGCGCTGGGTTGCGAAGCTGCCCACGGCCTCTGCAGTGCCGGTTCAATCCCCGGCTGCTCCCCAGCCACCGAAGGAGGATCCTACATGGCGCGCAGACCTCTCCTGCCGCCCGCTGCTCCCCTCAGCAGTGTACTTCAGTCCTTCTGCCTGCTCTGCTGCCCACTCTGGCTCTGGTGAATTCTCTCACCCTCCCGCGCTTCTGACTGTAACCAGTGCATGTATAAACAAAACAAAAAAACAAATAAAATAAATAAATAAAACATGCACCTATTAAAAAAAAAAAAAATTAAAGCTATTTAATTTCTCCAGAGCTCAATTTCCACTTCCATAAAATATTAGAATCAGCCTAGGTAAACTCTAAGTTCCCTTCTTGGACTGAAATTCTATGATCTGTCCTCCTGGTCAAGGAATCATTTGGGTGAGTTGCTAAGAGGCATACTTTTGAAAAACAGCTCTCAATTACTTCTCCTTCGCCATTACACTCCTCTGAGTTAAGTATCCTTTTTCAACTAACCCTACCTCATTCCTGCCCCTGCTAATAGAGTCCCACAGAACTCAGGCAGATCAGCAAAGCCTAACACATAGACTGGGCTCTCTTGCATTGAACTCATTAAGCCTGATCAACATCTTTATCCTATCACTCTGAATTTCCAGAAGACTGAGACCAAACGCAGTACCTCTCTGAATCTGTATACAATCAAACCTAGTCCTAGCCAATTCGTCATTTAATCTTCCATTTTCCTTTTTGTGATTAAAATGGGTCCAAAAATTATCTGTATACAGATCTACCATGCTACTGGAAACCAACTCAAACTGTGCAAGCTGGCTGAGAAGAACTGGAAAAGAGAGTCCAGGCCCAAGAAAAACACTAAGGCAAGAGAAGCCTGGCAGAGCTCCATGATGAATGTAGAAATCATAGCCCCCTAGTGGATATTTCTTAGGTCCCCACTAAAAAACTACTGCTTAGGGCCCCCCTTGGTGGTGCAGCAGTTGAGTGCTGGTCTGCGAAGCAACAGACCTGCTCACCCCCACACCTCAGCGGTGTATTTCGTCAGTCTGCCTGTTCTGTTCCCCGCTCTGGCTCTGGTGAATTCTCACCCTCCCACGCTTCTGACTGTACCCAGTGCTGGTATAAATAAATAAAAGTCCCCGCTCTGGCTCTGGTGAATTCTATCACCCTCCCACGCTTCTGACTGTACCCAGTGCTGGTATAAATAAATAAAGTTACCAGCACTGGGTACAGTCAGAAGCGTGGGAGGGTGAGAGTATTCACCAGAGCCTTTTATTTATTTATTTATACCAGCACTGGGTGTAGTCAGAAGCGTGGGAGGGTGAGAGAATTCACCAGAGCCAGAGCGGGGAACAGAACAGGCAGACTGACAAAATACATTGCTGAGGGGAGCAGTGGGTAGCAGGAGAGGTCTGCACGCCATGTAGGACCCTCGCGCCAGTGGCTGGGGATCGAACCAGTGCTGCAGAGGCTGCGGGGCAGCTTCGCAACCCAGCGTTCAACCGCTGTGCCACGGAGGAGGCCCTAAATAAATAAATCATTTTTAAAAACTTAATTAATTAATTAATTAATTTTTAAAAAAACTACTGCTTATTTTTAATGCAAGCTGTTGGTCAGTAGATAGCTGAAGTGAATACTTCAGTGCACAAGGCCTAGGGGTGGGTTACACTACTTAAATGAGTGAGAACTGGGTCTGTTCCCAGGGAATTCATATTTTGTTTTTTAAACTGAAGTAACACAGGTTTATAACATTATATAGGTTTCCGGACAGACTAGATATAGATATAGATATAGAAGTGTGTGTGTGTGTGTATACCATATCATGCCTGTCACCAAAAGTCAAGTTTCCATCCATCATCATATATTTGGCCCCTTTTACCCAATTTTTCCACCTCACAGAATTCACAATCTTGAAGATGCATACCCAGTAAAGCTCTGATGCAAGGCTAATGTATTGATAGTTACAATGGGTAATGCCAGAGGTGTGGAAGCACAGAAAACAGAAGCATCACTGCTCAACTGGTCAGCAGCGGTCATAAGGGAAAACTTCCAGGAGGTGGCACACTTGAGCTGAGACCTGAAAGCTAAAAGAGGTAGAGGCCAACTGGATGGGATAGGAGTATTCTAGAGAAAAAACATGAGCAAAGGTTGGTGGTTTATTGGGGCAACAGAGAGTAACAAGATGTGACTGAATCACATAAAACCTAGAGAAGAAAGACATATAAAGCTATTGAAGGTGGCTGCAACCAGATTTTAGCTGGCAGCCTAAGGAAATGGAACTTAATAACCTTAGAGAAAAAATAAGCAGATGCAGGGGTGTAAAAGTGTCATATGGTAGATTGATCAAGGTCTTACTTTAAACTGCCTTCAGAAATCTTGATCTACTTAGCAGTCTTCCTTGGTGAACTGACAGAGAAAGGGAGGAAATAATCACAAGCAGAAAAAAAATACCAGATTAGCAAGCAAACATTATCGCCCCCTATGACCTACGGAGCAGAGAACCTTTCATATTCAGTGACTGATCCTGACTGGGTCAAGTAGAAAGCCAACCTTACCCAAGAGACCAGCCCCATGACTTACGGCAACAGCCAGTCTGCAGCAGAGCTAGTGTCTTTCCTCCAGGGGCTGCACAGAGGTCAAGCACAGTGTCACCAGGCTGCAGGCCAAGGGCCAAGACAGGTAATAAGGAAGCAGCATCCATCAGGTAGTAGTCCATGACACCCAGACTGCCAACCCTGGAAGAGAGGAAACCACCTTATAGTCAAATTGCAGGTCAGGAGACCCACTAGGGGTCAAGGCCGCCAAGTCCACACCCTCCAGGGCTACTAAGCTCTACTCAGCAAAAACTCATTCCTCAGACCCATACTTAGTTATTTATTCACTAACTCAATCATCTACACAGCAACCAGAGCAAACCTTTTAAAACAGAACAATTTGCTCTAATCTAGCCACACTAGTCATCTATTCCTTAATTAAGCCAAGCATGCTCCTGTCTCAGACTTTTATAGTTATTTTGCCTTCTGCCTACAGCACTCTTCCCCCAAATATCCCTTATCTGCTTCCTCACTTTTTTCAGGTCTCTCCTCAAAAGCTACCTCAGACAGGCACGGGCATTCCCTGACTACTCTATTTAAAAATAGGGTCCCTTTAGGGCCTCCCTGATGGCGCAGGGGTTAAAGTCTCAGTGCTATCAAACTACTTCCAGCCACTGTAGTATGAGTTCAATGCCTGGCCAGGGAGCTAAACCATATGACACAGCAGACTCCTCCTGTTTTGCCCACTCTCCCCTCAGCAGTGTATTTTAGTAGATCTGCTTGTTCTGCACCCCACTCTTGTCTCTGGTAAATCCGCTCACTCCCGTACCTCTGGTTTATATCCCAGTTCTTCTATGCATAAATGAATTTTAAAGAATAGCAGCCTCTTACTCCTATAACTTTCTATTTCTCTATCTTGCTTTATTTTCCTTTAAAGCACTTACTATTCACTGCATATGTAGAGATGTGTGTCTTTGTATATGTGTTTTTTTTTTTTTAAGATTCTGAGTCCATTTTATTTTATTTTTAAAGATTTATTTTTATTTATTTATACAAGCACTGGGTACAGTCAGAAGCGTGGGAGGGTGAGAGAATTCACCAGAGCCAGAGCGGGGAGCAGAGCAGGCAGAAGGACCGAAGTACACTGCTGAGGGGAGCAGCGGGCGGCAGGAGAGGTCTGCGCGCCTGTATATGTGTTTCTCCCTCTGTCTCTCCCTACTACAATGAGGGCAAGAATTGCCTGCTTTGTTCACCGTAATATCTCCAACAACTGAAAGAGTGCCTGGTTTATAGTAGAAAGTCAGTTTTACTGGGTTACATATTGAGACACAAAGTGTTTTGCAGGTTTAGAGAAGAATGTCGTCAATTGTGCCTGTCAGAGTTACATGTTATAGATACTGGCCTTCATTAGGTTAAAAAAAAAAAAAATAGACAGCAGGAGAATTCCAAACAGAAGAAGAAAGAATAGACACAGAAGCATGGAAATCCACAGCTTCTTTCAGAAACAGCGAGAAATACAGTGTGCAAGAAATACAAAGTGCATGCCTCTATCTAACAAAGTAGTTAGAGGCCAGAGTGTAAAAGATCTTAAATGCCATGCTTAGAGGAATCTGGGCTATAACTTTAGGCATTTATCAGAAGTTTTTAAGGAAAATGACATGATCAGCTACTGAGTTTAGAAAGCTAGGTGAACTAGAACAAACTGGAACTAGATACCAATGGGAAAGCTGTTTTAAGAGTCTAGGTAAGAACCCATGAGGAATAGAGGCAGCAATGCTGTGGGGAAAAAGAGTCAACAATTGACAGACAACAATCTAATGGTTACAAAAAGACACTGTCATAAAGGAAACAAGCAGTGCACTCATTCCTTTGCCTAAGACACAGCTCAGCACAGCCACCAAAGGAGATAGACACAAAGAGATAGAAACCTGGTCCCTTCTGCTCTGACAAGAAGGGAGCTTTTTCTGGGAGAAAAAGCTGTGACAAGTCTCAGACAACAGTACCGAAAGTCAGTTACAACAGTCACAAGGTTGTTGATACCGCCAGTATTCACAAATGGGCTCAGGTTGTGACTGAGTAGTTTCAAAGTCAAATCACACTGGGATTGTCTGTGAAACATTGTGCCTTCCAAAGAATGATAAACTAGAAAATCTGAGAAGAGCACAGAACTGCTACCAAACAGCACTGGCCAACAAACCCATCCTCATCAAGTCCCTTCCTCCTCTGCAAAACAACATTTCTTAAGGGGCGGACGGGAGTGTGTGTGTGTGTGTGTATGTGTGTGTGTGTTCGTTCAGTGTATGTTTGAGCAGTTTTGAAAGTTACAGTTGTTCCGTGTGTGTGTGTGTTCGTTCAGACAGTGTATGTTTGAGCAGTTTTGAAAGTTACAGTTGTTTCGTGTGTGTGTGTTCATTCAGACAGTGTATGTTTGAGCAGTTTTGAAAGTTACAGTTGTTCCTTCAAAAAAAAAAGCACAATTTTTCAGACGCTTTCAAGAGGTTCCTGAATTTCCTGACTATAACCATAATTCCTGAGAGCTTGATTTATAGGGCACCCGTAAAGACAAGAAGGAAAAAAAACATACAGGGATTGCATCCCCCCATTATTCTCAGAGCATCCTCCCTCAGCAGAAACTAAGCACCTCAGGCAACTTAGAAAACCACATGGCTTTTCCTCCAGGGTTCAGCCTAAAATCTATTCCTCCAAATTGGTGCCCAGTCCTGTCCAATACATTCCTTCTCCCACAGTGACTGAAATGATCTTCCTGAAGTATGACTTAGATAAGAATAACATCAATAGTAAGAGAGACTATATTGCAGATACTATAATGGATGTTCAATATGCATTATTTCAGTTAGTCCTCACCACAAACCTATGAGGCAGGAGAATCCAGATGCCAGGGCCAGATAGTCTGAATTTCAAATCCAGCCCAGTTCATTAGTTTTATGACCTTCAGCAAATTATTCAACTTCTCTGGGCCTCAGTTTCTTCAGCTATCATAACAGCACCTGCCATATAAGAGTACTGTCGGGACTACAGGAATTAGTAGGCACTTAGAATAGCAGATAATACATAGTGAGTGACTGTCAGTTTTTACTACCATTATTTTCCAGATAAGGAAACCAATGAAAAATGACTAACAAGTGATGAAGGCAGGATCCAAATCTAGGTTTTCTTAACTCTACAGCCCATGCTATAACCAGAGTGCACCATCTCATCTTACTGCATTTCACTTTATTGCACATCACAGATATTGCCACAAGTTGGTCTGTGGCAACTGTGTGTCAAGCAAGTCTATCAGTGGCACTTTTCTAACAGTACAGGCTCAGTCCATGTTCCCTGAGTCACAATATTTCTAACTCTTTCATTATTATTATATCTGTTATGATGTTTGATCATCAGTAATCACTGATGTTAACTATTGTAATATCCGGGGCACTGCAAATCATGCCAATATTAAACAGTAAACTTCATCAATAACAGTCATAAGCGTGGGCCTCCCTCATGGCGCAAGGTGTTAAGACGCAGCACTATGAAGTTATCCGCAGCCACTGCAGCACGAGTTCCAACCCCAGACAGGGAGGTGACCCACATGGCACAGCAGACTCCTCCTGTCTGTTATAAGAGTCTACGTAAGAACCTATGAGAAACAGAGGCAGCAATGCTGTGGGGAAAGAGAGTCAACAATTGACAGACAACAATCTAATGGTTACAAAGGGACATTTCTCCTGACTCACCCGCTGCTCCCCTCAGCAGCGTAATTCAATCTACCTGTTCTGCTCCCCACTCTGCCTGTGGTGAATCCTCTCTCTCTCTCTCTCTCTCTCTCTCACACACACACACACACACACACACACACACACACACCAGCCTACACCCCAGCTCTTGTATGCATAAATAAATAAATCTTTTAAAAATAAATAAATAGGGCCTCCCCTGGTGGCACAGCAGTTGAGCACTGGGCTGCAAAGCTGCCCGCAGCCTCTGCAGCGCCGGTTCGATCCCTGGCCACCAGCAAGGGTCCCACAAGGCGCACAGACCTCTCCTGCTGCACCCGCTGCTCCCCTCAGCAGTATATTTCGTCAGTCTGCCTGTTCTGTTCCCCACTCTGGCTCTGGTGGGTTCTCTTACCCTCCCGTGCTTCTGACTGTACCCAGTGCTTGTATAAATAAATAAATCTTTTAAAAAATTAAAAATTAAAATAAATAAAGTAAGTACCTCACCTGTGCTGCACCTCAGTTTCCTCAATGTAAAGAGAAACAGTAATATTACTACCTCAGAGGGCTATTGACAGAATAAAAGGTGGTAACTTATGTACAGCACTCAGAAAAATGCCTAGCATGTATAAGCATTCAGATATTAGCAATACTATGACCCCTATTAAAGATGGAAGGCACTGGGTCTCCTCACGTCTACTTCCAGCATATTTTCAGGATAACCCCAGGCATGGAATTAGGTCCTACCTGGCAGGAGGAAAGCGGCTGACATCCCCTCTGGCGAAAGTGAAGCATCGAAGGTTAGGACTGTAGGCCCAAGAGGAAGAGAACAGAGGCGCAGTCTGGCCCCCTTCAGGTTCCTGTTCCCCATGGGAGATGGTTTCATTCACAAAGTCCCTGGCATTCAGCTGCTCCAGCTCAGCACAGACATGATCCCAGGTGGCAAAGTTATTGACCAGCGCACCATACTTCTGCTCTGAGAGGAGACTGACCCGGATTGATGGCCAAAGATCCCCAAACTGCACACTGTAGGTCATGTCAAAATTCTGCAAAGCCAGTTGAGTGGCAGGCAATTTGGGCTCTGTGGCAGCCTGAAAGGGGAAAAACAGGCTTTATGGTCTTTCAGTCTTGTTTCTATCCCCTATTGCTTGACCCCACCACTACCTCAGAAGCCTGGGCAAATGTGGATCCAACTGGTGCCCACTTCTATCTTGACATCCTGCCAGTGCCTGCCAGAAAAGTGTGGAACAGAGGAGGAGTGAGGAGCTGGACTTTGTATTTCAGGGTTGTAAGAGAAGCTTCTTTTAAGCTTCTTTTAAGCTTAGCTCTGACAATAGCACGTAGGAATCAGCAAGAAAGGGGTCATTCCTTAAAGCCTTGACCTAAAAGGAATTTAAAAGAATGAGAGTTCAGGAAAAGATTCTCAAGAAGAATTCTACAAAAGGTTGGAAGAAACTTAAAAATAGGCTTAAAAATAAAAAATTCTCTCTGAAGACTCCTTTCACTTTCTAAAGCACTTTCACAGCTCCAAGCATATGTGAGCACAACAACAGATAACTCAAAGGGGATACAAAAACATCAACCTTTCAGGCTTCCCTGGTGGCGCAAGGGGTTAAGAAGCAACCTATGAAGCTGTCCACAGCCTCTGTAGCATGAGTTCGATCCCCCAGACGGCCAGGGAGCAACCCACATGGCGCAGCAGACCTCTCCTGACTCGCCTGCTACTCCCCTCAGCAGCATAGTTTGGTCAATCTGCCTGTTCTGTTCCCCACATTCTGTTTCTGGTGAATTCTCTTACCCCCAACACCTCTGACCTGTACCCCAGCTCTTGTATGCATAAATAAATAAATCTTAAAAAAAATATATCAACCTTCCATATGTGATGGAGATGAGGGTAACTTACCTAAGGTCATGCAGTGACTGACACCATAATGCTCAGATTCACAGGGTTGAGGGGCACTTAAGCAGAGTTCTCAGACCCCAAGAAGGTGAGTAGTGCTCACAAAAACTTTGAGGTATGAACCATAATGGAACTTCTAGGATGACTGCTATGGGAGTAGCAGAGAAAAATATGAGTCAGGTTTTAAGAGCATAAAAAAAGGAAAATGAAGACCTCAACCGAGGAGTCACGTTGGTCCTGGTTGCCATAGCTGGGAAGCTTGCTTCTCAGTCTTTTTACTCTCTAGAATTTCACATTGGCCTGAATTTTTAGACTGGTCAGAACTCTTGCTCTTTTGTCCTCATTTTCTAACTTTCTGGGCACTCGTGCTCTGACCATGACCTCTGCCAAGGCTGGGACTCTTGCTCCGGCTCCTGTTACTTGGGGGACTCTTGCTCTTATCCTGCCTTGTATTAAGGCGAGGACTCTTGCTTCGGCTCCGACTTTTGCTATGGAGAACACTCTTGGTCTTGCCTTGTTGGGAACTCTCACTCTGGCCCTGATTTCCACTAAGTTGAAGATTCTCATGATGATTCTGATATATGTTTTGGTGGGGACTATCGCTCCGGCTCAGACTTCCGTTTTTAAGGGAAATCCTGCTTTGACTCACACTTGTGCTAGGATGGAGACTCTTGCTTTGACTCCGACTTCCACTAAGGTGGTTGAGGCCCTCACTCTGGCTCACACTTCTGTTTTGGTGGGCAGTCTTGCTCTGACTGTCACTATTCTGGCGTTCACTAATAACAGTCAAACTACAGCTGGAATTAGAGCTACCGCTGGAACTCATGGGTGAAGGCACAGGACAACTATAGGGGATCCGGGAGGGCTCTTTGCAGGGTTCTCGAGAAGCTACAGAGTAGACATGGAGGCCACAGGGCACAGGATCAGGGTGGTCCCAGGGTCGGGAAGCAATGGGTAAATTTTGGGGGTCAAAGGGTGTTCTCAAAGGGATAAAAGAATAGATGTGGGTAGAACAAGGAGGTGCCACAGGCTGGCGAGGGCATTGGGGTAGGCCCCTGGGAATAATACAGGTGCCACAGGGGGGCACCATGGGCTGGTGCTGGCACTGAGATGGACATATGAATTGATTGAGGGTACCAGGGACTGGGCAGGGATTGGAGGTGGAGGGAGTCACAGAATATATATGGGTATTGCAGGGGGGCTCTTTGGAGGGTCCATGGGGGCTGCCCTGAGCACACCTAATAGGTATGACAGGATCACAAGGAAGGGAGAGGGGAAGGGAAGTAGGGACAACAGTTTTGAGTGTTCTGGGGACTGTAGTACATAAGGCAGGCTCTTGGGGAATTTCCTTTGGGCAGGGATCAGAGCAAGTTGTGATGGATGCCACTGTGTAAGAAGGACCAGAGAGCCCAGGATGGGAGGCAGGTGAAGGACTAGGGCAGGCCACAGGGTGCTTGGGCTGGTTGGAATGAGTATGCTGAACAGTGGTGACCAGGGAATGACATCTCTGGGGAGCACGTGGCTCTCTTAACTCCAAGCATTTGGGGGACTTCACCTGGGGAGGAACTGGGGTAGGGAGAGGGGGGTCATTATAACTTCTGTGGGGAGATAACTGGGGTACAGACACAAACTGGTTGCCCAGGGGTGAAGGGAAAGAGAAGGCAGAATAAGTGCAAGGAGTGCACAAGGGAAGAGGTGATTCCTGAGGACAGGGAAGATCAGAAATCATAGAGCGTGGGTTTACATGGACATAAGAGCTCCCACCAGTCTCCCAGGAGAAAACAGACTCAACGCAAGATTTCCTCGGAGTCTGGGGTTGGGGTGAGCAAGGAGAACCAGTACTCACAGGGAGTAGGCGTATAGCACAAGGGCTCCCAGGAGCAGATCTGTGGGCTTCTGGGGAAGGGAGATGGGAACAGTGATAAGAGCCCTCCTGAGATGTTCGTGCCCGACAAGAAAGTGGGGAGCCACAATTTTTCCCAAGGGGCAGATCAAGCTGTGGTTTAGGGTCACAAGGGTCTGGAGACTTAAGGCAGCCATGGCGAAAGCTGCTAGAAGGTGGGGAAGATGCTGGGGAAAGAGGAGGATCATTATAACTTCTCCGGGAGGACCATGGAGAGAGCAGAGTGGAAACCGTCTGCCCAGTTTCCTGAACCCTGTGAGAAAGGGGTGGGGTAAGTATAGGTCTAGTTTCCATGGAGTGGTGAGTAAGGGGAGGTGAAATTATGGGGCAATTTCCCTGGGACCCATGAGGAATGGAAGGTGAAATCATAGGACCAGTTCTGGTGGACTTATCAGTAAAAAGAGATGAAATCATGGGATCAGTTTCCAAGTGTACATGAGAAAGCGGAGGGCAAGTCCCAGGGCCGGCTACCAGGGCTGAAGGGTAACAGGAGCAAAGGTAAGTGTTCTGGTCACAAGGTTTTGATGGACAGGAACATAGGGGTCTTGAGGGATTGATGCAGCTGCAGTAAGGACCCCGCGGACAGAGAGGGCATGGCCTCAGAAGGCTGCACCGGTCAAAACAAGGGCTTGGAGGGGCTGAACCCGAAAGAACAGTTTCTTGGCAGTAGGGCCTTCCAAGGAGGGGAGAACAAGGTTCAAAAGAACATCTCCCCAAGCTCAGAGAAACCTGTGGGGGTGAGGAAGGGGGAGGGACCGGCGTGGGGAGGGGGATAGGCGTGCTGATAACAGAAGAAATTCCAGGGCCACAGGTGATGCCAGAGATAGGGTCTCTGGAAAAGAGGGGAGAGCCTAGGGAATGAGGGGGGTCGCTGCACCTTTTGCCTGGGTTTGGGGAAGGGCAGGGAGTATGAGCAAGGTGGTCGCTGTAACCTTCCCCGGGCGCCAGAGGCAGATCGAGGGTGAGGAAGGGGTTGAATCCTTTCCCGGAGGGCGGCGGTGACCCAGAAAGGTTGGGAAAGTCGCTATTACATTTTTCGAGGGGTGAAGGCGGCCTGGCGGGAAGTTCTAGGAGGAAAGGAGAAGTGGTCATGGGAGGGGGTAGGGAAAGAGGGAGGGAAGAAAGGGAGGGAGAGGAAGAGAGAGGAAGGGAAGTGGAAGGGATAGTGAGGGCCAAGGGGAAGGTAACCAAGAGTTGGGGAACGAGAGGTGGTGACATAACTGAAAGAATGAGCGCGGAGGCGATTACGTAACTTTGAGGGGTGGAGTCAGAAGCCAAACTGAACGAGACAAGAGAGCAGAAGGCTGCTGAGCAAATAAAAAGGCGAGGCGAGGTTATGACGTAACAGATGCGAACGGGAGGAGTCTAGTGACGCTCCCTGCGGGGCGGGGAAAAAAGGTCGAAGCCGAGGAGAGTGGCTGGAGTAGCGAATTTAACTGAGGGGGCGGGACGTGAAGGGCTAAAGTTTCCCAAGGAGCGGCGGCAAAAGGCCGCATTTGCTGTTCCCTTCCGGACCCACGGCTGGACCTTACCCATTTCTTCTTATGGCGATGTCTTCGCGGGACCGAGATGAAGGTCGCACGCCTCAGTACGTCCCCAACACCTCTGAGTACCAGCGCAGCCATGTTGGTGTGTGCTGCGAAGTAATTCCGCCCGGAACCGCGACTGGAGACTGGCGGGTTCCGGAACGGTGGTGTGCGCTCTCGGCGAACAGGGGAGGGAATTATCGCTGACTCTCTCGGGCCCCGCCCATCTTAATGTCCCAGGCGCAAGTCCCACCTGCCAAGGATGTTCTGGGAGCTGGTGGGAGAAAAGCTAGCAGCCATTTGCACAAGAAACCGTTGGCTCTGTCTGAATGGTTGGAACATTGCGAGAAAGTCCGAAAAGGTCCCTAATCCTGTTGTGGAAATCAGGGAGGACTAGGAGCTGGCAGTTGGGTACCGAAAGAGACAAAAGAGGGCGGGTAGAGCCTTCTAGGCAGTTGTTCCAGGACACAGCTCCTGGGGTAAAGAAAAAAACGAGTCTAGACCTACAAAGGTAGGTTTATATTGAAGGTAATGAAGGTTAAGTTTCATTACCTGTTATTTGTCCCGCTCCTTTCAAGACTGTATCTAATTTTGTACTATTTTTCTTAATGAATGCCTTCCAAATTGTGTAAGCGTTAGCATCCACAAAATGACTGTACCATAAGGAGCCGCTAGAGAGGAGGGACCTGGTAAGATGAGAGTTTTAAGTGATCATCTGACAGCTAGTTATCTGAATAGGTAGGTGAAGACAGGAATTCAAAGTGAGATATGATGGTGTGGATTAGTGTGGTAGTAGTGGAAATCGAGAGTGAATTTTACTTATAATTAAGAGACTTACCAGACTTGTCGACTGATTACACTATTTGAAATAGCACAAATTTTTTTTTATTTTTTTATTTTATATATACTTCACAGCACAAGTTTTTAACTGGCCTCTTACTGTGCTTTATTCTTATAACTTATTATCACCTGATATATATTTGTTATCTTATAGCAAAATGATCATTTTTCAAAAGGATAAAACATAACTCAAATACAAATATAAAATGCTAGAGATTTAGTCATAATCAGCCACTCATCCATTATTATCCTAAATAATCAGAGAACACATGAGATTGTAAGACTTGCTCAAATGAGAATCTGAGTTTCAGAGATAAGATTATCAGCCAAAGGAATACTGAGAATTTACTAATTGTTGAAAATTACCTGCATTGCTCTCAGACAAGATTTGCATTGCCATCTATTTTCTACAAGTTAACCTCTACCCCTGCAAAGTTGTAAGATAGCTTTATCAATATAAAGTCAGTCAAAGGTATAACCCAGCAATGCAATGAAAGAGCACCCATTTACAGTTCTCGACAATTTTGTGGACATGTCTCCTCTTGCTAGAACATAAGATTTAAAAGAGAACATTCAAATACATTAATTTCTTCTTGAGTGTCTAATCTTTTACCTTGTCCAGTGAAATTTGTCAGATATTGTATTTTTAAGCTCCATTTTTATATTTCCCATTACTTGCCCCACTATGTTTTTAATTTCCATTAAATCCCTGAGCCTAATTATAATAGCTATCTCAAAGTCCTTATGCTATTTTATCACATTTTACATAAGAAAAAAAATTCTAAAAAAAAAAGATGAGACAGGTCTACAGATCATAGGACTTTATTAAGATGGAATACTGTTAATTACACAGACTACTGTGTAAGCCCAAATCCACAAGTTTCACATGAACTTACACAAATAAGAACTAAATGGCATGTTCAAAATCATAAGGAATTATCCTGATGCCCCGGTGACAAAAGCTGGGGCGAATGAGGCTGCACATTTACTTCAAGCTGGTAAAGAGTTTGTGGGCCACCTAGATGGGGGAAGAAAGGATGTCATCAATTGTCAGTTTTAATGCCATGGCATATCAAGTTTTTCATGACCTGACACAGTACTGCCTTTTCTCTCCACTATCCTTTTCATATACCCACATCCTTCTGGAACCTTGGGGAATTCCCTTCAATTGCCTGAATTCCCTTTTATTTGAAACTCTTCCCCACTCTATCTTTTATTTATCCTTTAAAACATAACATGTTATTTCCTGCAAGCCTTCCTTAAACAAGTCCTTATCCCCAAACAAATTTGTCCCTCTGTCCTCCCCACAGAAATTTATATAACTATATTACAGGACTTATTAATTCAACAAATATTTATGGAACATCTACTATATGCCACATGTTGTAGGTGATGAACAAGTTATAAGTCTCTGGCCTAAAGTGAATGAGAAAAATAAGGTAACGTGGTAATAAACAGACAAATGTAGTAAATATGGTAGCTCATAGATAAATGCTATGAGGGGGGAAAAGGGTGGGGTAGAGCAGCTTTAAATGGGGACAGCAGGCCTCCCTGGTGGCACAAGGGGTTAAGACACAACACTGTGAAGCAATCTGCAGCCACTGCAGCATGAGATCAATCCCCGCCAGGGAGCTACCCAGGAGCTACCTCTGCTGTCTCGCCCACTGCTCCCCTCAACAGTGTATTTCAGTCGATCTGCCAGTTCTGTTCCCGACTCTGTCTCTGGTGAATCGTCTCACCCCCTACCCACACCTGTGGCCTGTACCCGTTCTTATATGCATAAATAAATAAATCTTTAAAAAAAAAATGGGGGGAGCGTAAGTGAAGGCTATCTTGAGGTGATAACACCCAAGAGATTTAAATAGTTTACTATTCTGTCTCAACTCAGTAAAAGGACCATGCCCGTCTTATTCTCAGATCTTAACCCACTGCTTATTTTAAAAGATTTACCACGTTAGTCATACATTTTTATACCACTAGGTACATTCATACTGTGCTACAATCATCAATCTCTAGAACTTTTTCAGCTTCCCCAACTGAAACTTTGTACCCATTAAATAATACCACATTTCCCCCTTCCTTGGGTCCCTGGCAATCAGCATTCTTACTGTTTCTATCAATTTACTATTCTAGGTACCTCCTCAAAGTGAAATATATTTGCCGTCTTCTGATTTATTTCACTTAGCATGTCTTAAGGGTACATCCATGTTGTAGAACATGTCATTTCCTTTTTAATGGTGAGCAGCATCTCATTGTATGTACACACAGGTTTTTGCTCATTCACTCATCAACAGACAATTGAGTTGCATCTACCTTTTAGCTATTGTGATAGCTGCTATGAACATGCATGTAAAAATATCAGAGTCCCTGAACAGACTCAATTCTTTTTTTTTTTTTTTTTAATAGAGGCATGTTTTTTATTTATTTGTTTGTTCGTTTTTTGTTTATACATGCACTGGGTACAGTCAGAAGCGCGGGAGGGTGAGAGAATTCACCAGAGCCAGAGTGGGGAGCAGAGCAGGCAGAAGGACCAAAGTACACTGCTGAGGGGAGCAGCGGGCGGCAGGTGAGGTCTGCGCGCCATGTGGGACCCTCCTCCGTTGGCCGGGGAGCAGCCGGGGATCGAACCGGCGCCGCAGAGGTCCGCTGGCAGCTTCGCAACCCAGCGCTCAACCGCTGCGCCACCAGGGAGGCCCAATTCTTTAGAGTATATACCCAGAAATGGAATTGCTGGATTATATGATAACTCTACATGTAATTTTTAAAGGTACCTGATTTGTCTTTATTGCTAAGTAATATTCCATTATATGAATACCACATTTTATTTATCCATTATCAGTTGGCAGACATTTATATTATTTCCATTATGAAAAATACTTCTATAGGCCTCCCTGGTGGAGCAGGCAGTTGAGCACAGCGCTGTGGAGCTGGCCGCAGCCTCTGCAGCACAAGTGAGATCCCAGCCAGCTGGGGAGTTACCCACATGGCACGGCAGACCTCTCCTATCTCGTCTGCTGCTCCCCTCAGCAGTGTATTTCAGTAGATCTGCCTGTTCTGTTCCCCACTCTGTCTCTGGTGAATCCTCTCACCCTCCTGCACATCTGGCCTGTACCCCGGTTCTTGTATGCATGAATAAATAAATCTTAAAAAAAAAAAAAAGAAAAAGAAAAATACTTCTATGAACAATCTGTGTACACAATTCTATGTATATGTTTTCATTTCTCTTGGACATATATGTAGAATTGCTGGGTCATGCCAATTCTATGTTTAACATTTTCAAGAACTGCCAGACTGTTTTCCACAGGGTTGTACCAATTACGTTCCCATCAGCAAGGTCTGAGATTTCCAATTTCCTCCATATTGCCAACACATCTTTTTTATTACAGTGACTCTATGGTATGTGTATTAGTATCTGATTGTTGTTTGGACTTGCATTTTCCTGATAGATAATGTAAAGAACATCTTTTCATATGCTTATTAGCCACCTAATCAGTTTAACACAATCAACCATAGCAAACTTTGTCTTTTAATTTATTTAAACACAAGTTTACTTTAAAAATCTTATTTTATAACCAATTATTATGTATTATGTATAAGACACACTAGAGGACAGAAATTGTTTTAAAGAATAGTCTGTTACTTAAAAGCACATAATCTAGCTTCCCCATTGTTCAGCAGTGCAAGTTGAGACTTTATTTCTCTTCTCTGAGACTATTTCTTATCCGTAAATGTAAAATGCAGATAATGACACCTACTATCTCCAGTGGAAGTGGTAGGTTTAGGTAAGATTATTTAAAGCTCAATACTGGATGCCTAACATACTAGGTAAATTTTGTTGATAGATCTGGCTCTTGGATGGAAAAGTTGTCAGTACCACATCTTCCCTGGCCACTGTAAGCTTTCCGCTTATTTTAAACTGACTTACACAGTGGTCCCTTGCATGCAAGAAGTCAAAGAGCTCCTCAGTGCAATCCTCCTCTGTCTGTGATCGGGAGGATACACGCTCATCACAGAGCTCTAGTCGCTCCCGAGCCTTTACACATTTCTCCAGTTGCTCGCAATGTTCTCTCATTGTTGTCAGGGGATCCTGTAGAAGAAACACGGAAACCAACATAGGGGCTTAAGGGGGAGACACACAAACCATCTGCTTTGATTAATACAACCACCAAACCAAGGTGCTGCCTCTGATTTACCGTGCAGAAGGCCAGCTGGCAGAGCCACACTGCAGCCAGAAATGGCAGAATGGGGTCTCCCATTCAATTCTGATGCTAAGTAGTAGGGGATAGTTTCACATTCCTGCCTTCCAAGGTTGCCAGTATGCACTGAAAGCCTCAGTCCTATCTGAAAAACAAGGTGGTAAAGGAAACCTGGCCAAACTTGAAGTAGCTCTAGAGGAGGCATTACTTGTTAACATAGCAGTTTGAAATATGTAATGCCTGTGGATTTCAATTTCTCTTATCTGACAGCCAGGTCTATGTACCCCAGCCGCCCAGCTAGAAAGGCAATATTAACAAGGAGAAGGACCATTTAAGAAAAGCTCCTTCCAGAATTCTTTAATAAACCACAAAGAGCAGATGATTGAATACTAGTCTCTCAAGATGCTGCTCTACAGCCTGACACCATGACTAGACAAACTCTAAACCAAGAAAAGACTCAGCTTTTGAGGCCCACACCCCCAAACACTCCACTGCACAGGAAATACTGTTCTCTTTCTCCACTCCCATTATTTCCAAGGTGTCAACTAAAGACTCCATAAAACATCCTTAAGGTTTCAGTTTCACAAAGCTCAAACTTCCTTCTACCAAGATGGTTCCAAACCGGAGACAGTTCTTACCACTAATTCCTCCTCCTCCGCTTCCTCCTACAAAAGGAAAACAAAATTAATGTTAGCAATAACTTTATTACATCTATATAGCTCCAAAATATTGATGATGTAATTAGTGAGGGTTGACGTTATAGTGATGTTAAATTTTTTGTATTTTATGATGCTTTGACATGGAAGGGAACCTTGCTAATCCTGGAGATGCTGCCTCTCCAGAGCTGGATAATCTCTAGATATAGCAAACAACTTGTCTAGTGTCACAGATTTCAAATGCAAGCCAGCCGATCTAAAACCCATTTGTATAACTCTCCACATTCTTTTATCTAACTTTAAACCAATTATTGCTCCTACCCCAATCACCCCAGGAACAACCAGACAACAAGGGACCCCTCCAATAGCCAGAGCCCACCCCAAATCAAACTTTCCAATCCTAAATTTGCTAGAGCTAGTCTACCCTGCCTCACCCAATCCTTCCCTCAGAAATCAAGGCTGTGGTTTCTCTGGCTTCTTCTGACTTTGAAGATCTGAGATGGCCCTGCACTACCCTCATGTGGTCCTGGGTGGTGTGGCTCCCTTTCTCAAGAGAATTGTAAGAAATTCTTTCCAAGGTAGTTGTCTTTACATCTATCACTTTTGAAAGCTGATTAACACACTATCTCACTTTCATTAGCAACTACCTAAAAAAGGCGTGTACACCAACCTAAAGCACTTTCATATTTATAATCATTACAGCACTGCTTTATGAAACTCCCAACTTAGAGATAACAAACACTAGACATTTTCTAATACAGATTCAAGCTGTCAGATGTTCATATGGAAAAGCATTTTGTTCTAAATTCTGTGTAAGTCCCAGCATTACCAAAAATAGCTAAATGTAGTCCTTACAGCCAGATTCAGGTTAGGAAGAATACTAACATTTTTTTCTAGACCCTCAACTTGAATTTTGGAATATGCAAACGGTCAAACCTAAACTATTCCACCAGAGCGTAACTAAAAGATGGTTGTGGACACTGCTTTGTGTCTTGCTGAATGCCCAAGGACTCTAAGTAAACTATATAAGTATGCCAACAGTCTACACGATTCCACAAACCTGGAAACTTTAGGCCCAATCTATTCACTTTTGATGCAGGTGCATAACCTCAAACTTAGTTTCCCTTCTGTCAAGGGGCAATGCAAGAAAAATTCCTTGTGGGAGCATCAGTGCAGACTTAAATCTATGGCAGAATCTGAGCAGTATCAACAATATGCCAAGAGTAAGGTTTTTGCCTGTGTATGCATACATGTGCCCACATTTGGGGGAAAGGAAAGGTATACAGGGAAATAAGGATTATCATCTCAGAAATTCCCCATTATGTTACTCAAAATCCCAACCTTCCTCACTCTCTACTAGGCCCTTCAAGGATGGGCATGTAGCCTGGGGGTAAGGGGTTGAGCAGGCTCAGCTGTAACCCAGGCTACTTATTCTTAGAGGTCTCTCCTAAATATGAAGATGCTATTTAGGATGTTAATTCTAGTCTTTATTTTAATTTTATTTTTTTTAAAGATTTATTTATTTATGCATAAAAGAAGTGGGGCACCTGCCAGAGGTGGGGGGAGGGGGACGGTGAGAGGATTCACCAGAGACAGAGTAAGGAACAGAACAGGCAGGCAGACTATATACACTGCTTGAGGGGAGCAGTGGGAAAGACAGGAGAGGTCTGTTGCACAATGTAGGAAGCTCCCTAGTGAGCTGGGAATTGAACTCGTGCTGCAGAGGCTGTGGATAGCATCATAGTGCTATGCTTAATAAGGAAGCCCTTATTTATTTTTTAATACAGAACACTTCACGAATTTGCATGTCATCCTTGAACAGGGGCTGTGCTAATTGTTTCTGAATCATTCTAATTTTAGTGTATGTGCTGCTGAAACAAGCATTAATTCTAGTTTTTAATTAAATATGCTTTCCTAACCTTGTTCTTTTAAAAAATGCATATTGAAAAGTTTTTCTAAGTACTGAAAAAACAAATCCAAATACCAGTCTGAATATGGACTAGTTAGTATAAAATTTCCAGTCAATGAGAAAAGCCAACATGGAGGCCTCTCTGGTGGTGCAGGGGTTAGTCAGCACTTTTAAGCTAGTGCCAGCCACTGTAGCGGCATGAGTTTGCTCCCCAGTCAGGGAGCTGACCCACATGGCACAGCAGACCTCTCCTGTCTCACCTGCTGCTGCCCTCAGCAGTGTATTTCAGTAAATCTGCCTGTTCTGCTCCCCACTTGGTCTCTGGTGAATCCTCTCACTCTCCCCTCAACCACCTCTGGCCTACACCCACTTCTTCTATGCATAAATAAATTAAAAAAAGAAAAAAAAGTCAACATCACATTAAATTAGAAGATTTAATCTCCAAGAGCTCTAGGTTCTTCATATAAGATACTAGTTTTCTTAATTTTAAAATTACTATTTACTTTCTGGTCTGCTGCTGTGGTGAGTCCTGGTGAACTTGATGGTATACTTCTTGAGGCTAACACCACTTCTTTCTGAAAATGAGACTAGGAAAAATTACAGAATAAACTACTTCCAACTATTCTGAACACATAAGCCCAGAACAGCTGCCCTAATGTATCCAGAAAATAACAAGATAGGAAAAGATATTGGAAACAAAAAGCTAGCTGGCTTCTGTAAGCTGTGTAGCATTGAGGATAAGTCTTGGTTGGCTCTGGAACTATGCTGCTAGGGTTCCATTCTTGGCTCCACAATTTATTACCTATGTGACCTTAGATAAGATATTTAACCTCTCTATGCGTGTTTCCTCATCTGTAAATGGTGGTAATAATTGTACCCAGTACTTAACTTCACAGGACTACTGTGTGGATTAAATGAATTTGTACACAGTAGGCACTCGGAATAGTAACCCATCAATAAATACTGTTATACCTGCATTCTTACTCTGGGAGAGCTCCCCATTTCATCACAATTATACTGCACTTTACTACACCGTCCCCAAAGATATCTTCTCCTCCACCCATCACTTTACCCCCAAAAAGCAGCCACTTTTTCACAGACTCTAGCTTAAGGCCAGTTGTCGGGACTTTCATAGAAGATGCGGCAGGGATTCCTGACCTGTGCTGAGTTAAGTCCTGGGGTGGGGTGATCGGCTTCCTCCACAAACCTGTCAAACCAGGGCCTCAGAATACCTTACTAAAAAATACAGATATTTTTACAAAAACTTAGTAGAACAGCATTTTCGCTGTCGTTAAACCTTCACCACAGGGCCTGGATGAGCGCTGGGCTACGAAGCTGCCCATGGCCTCTGCAGCTCCGGTTCGATCCCCGGCTACCAGGCGAGGGTCCAACATGGCACGCAGACCTCTCCTGCCGCCCGCTGCTCCCCTCAGCAGTGTATTCCGTCACTCTGTCTGTTCTACTCCCTGCTCTGGCTCTGAAGAATTCTCTCACCCTCTCGCGCTTCTGAGTGTACCCAGTGCTTGTATAAATAAATAAATAAAGATAGATAGATAGATAAATAAATCTAAAAAAAAAAAAACCTTCACCACATTCACAGACTGGGGATGCCGAGGCCCAGAGAAAGGCTCCTCATCTACTTGTCAAGGTCACTCGACGAATTCCAAGAAAGGGTGAAGGGAACCAACTCTCCCGACTCTGCAATTTCTAGGGGGTAAAATGCGGGTCAAAGGGGCGCCGGTCGCGTTTTTGGCGGGCTAGGTCCTGGGCCTCAAGGCGGTCAAGACGGTCGAGTCGATAGCTTTGCCTTACCTCCTTGGGATCTCCGGACCCGGTTAGCATCTTTTGCTCGTCCTCCAGCCCCATGTCCGGCTACGTTTCTGAATTCAAGCCGAGCAGCAACAGCGGTAGCTACCCCGCTTCAGGACCAAGAAGGACTTGTAAGGGTCACTCGGCGGATATCCGGCGATATGGCCGGAAGTGCGGCAGACTTGTCGTAGTCGCGAACACACGCTCCGATTGGCATGTACCACCGTCCAAACACAGGGAATAGGGGTGGCTGATATTTGCAGCTGAGGAAATTTTGCAATAAATATAGCTTTTAGCCACTCTAGGAATAAGATTTACCTATTTAAGAGTTTACATAAAGTATCGGGTTCTAATAGAGTTGGAAAGTGTGCAGATTGGTCTGTATTCCTGTAGTGAAGTTTCCATTCTTCCCCACATCGCTGGTTGGAACCGCCCTAACTGCTGACCTTTTCAAGATGGCGGTCCGAGGGGGCCACTCTCGGGCTCGCGCACCTCCCCAAGATGGCGGCGCCCGAGGCCTGGCGCGCCCGGAGTTGCTGGTTCTGTGAGGTAGCGGCGGCAACGACCATGGAGGCCACGTCCCGGGAGGCGGCGCCAGCGAAGAGCTCGGCCTCGGGCCCCAGCGTTCCCCCCGCCCTGTTCGAGCTGTGCGGGCGGGCGGTGAGCGCCCATATGGGGGTTCTGGAGAGCGGGGTGTGGGGTAAGTCGCGGGGTGAGGGGCTACCTCTGGCAATGAGCGGGGGCGGCCCAGCGGCCGGGGGGCGCGGGGGGCGAGGCCGGGAGGCCCGGGGCAAGGCCCGGCCCCGGGCACTGGAAGTAAGGCCGTCGCGTCGGAACATGAATTCCGTGCCTGACTGGGCAGCGCGCAGAGTACAAACCGGGACCAAGCCGGCAGGTGGACCTGCACCGCGGCCTGCCTGGGGGGCGCAGGGGGCGAGGCCAGGAGGCCGGGTCCGGGACGGAGCAGGCAGGGCCCGGGCAGCAGAGGCAGGACTGACTGGCCGGGCGGTGGGCACTGAACTGACACGGACTGGGTCGGACCGGGGAGTCTCGGATGTCGAACCGATAGGCAGGGATGGCCCCGCTGCCCGGGGGCGGGGGCCGAGGTTGGAAGGCCCGGCCTAAGGCAAGGAGGACAGGCAAGGAGGCCAGGCCCCGGGCCACCCAACCTGACTGACGGCGCGGGGGCCTCCGCTGTGTGTCTGTCACACCGCGGGAGGGAGCCGAGACTCCCGGGGCCCAGCCGATGGGAGGGAGACTCCCGGGGCCAAGCCCAGTGGATTGTAGAGCCAGGGAATGGGGCTGGGGGAGAGGCCGGAGGGCTTGCTGCGCTGAGGCCTGTCAGACGGCCCAGGGCTGAAGGGAGCGAACTGACGACCGGGGCCTCCGGGGCCAAACTGGTAGAGCAATGGACTGATGGGCAGGGCAGGGCAGTGAGCGCCGGAGACCACTCGGGTTGGCCTGGGCGGCGAGGAACATCGGAGAGCAGAGCGGGTCAAGGAAGGCCCGGTGCCTGTCAGCAATCTAGGGAGGCTCGAATGACGGACAGGCGGGAAGGGCCGTGGAGGCCCCAGGCGGGGCGACGGCCCGGGATCCCGGACTCAGAGGGGGGCGCGTCGCCACTAGGAGGCCTTGGTTCGAGTGGGAGTGAAAGGAGGCCCCAGGCCTGAGGGCTGCGGAGACCGACGCCCAGGCCTTGGTTGAGGGTGCCCAGGCTGAATAGCAACGGTGGGAGCCTGGGATGCCGGGACCAGAACAGGGAAAGGCGAACTGGGCAACCCTGCTGGCGGGCCTGGGATTGAGGTGGCGGGCCTGGGATTGAGGTGACGGCCTGGGATTGAGGTGGCAGGCCGGCTAACGGAGAAGAGGAGGCTGGTAGCCAGATAGGCAAGAGGAGGCCCGTCTATGGGCTGGTACCTGGCAGCTGAGTAGGAAAACTCGGGTTGGGATCTTAGTAACTGATAGCGTGGAAGTGAGGACACTGGGGGCTAGGCCTGCCCGCACGGTGGACAAGGGAGGCCTTGGGGCTGAGGGACTGGTGCTGTGAGGGGGTGGGGTCCAGAGGCCAGGGCTGAAGTTGGGTGAGGAGATCACAGGTCAGAGAGAAGGCCCAGCATAGAGGAAGGCCCAGACTGGTAGGCCCTGGGCCTTATTTTTTTTTTTTTGGGGGGGGGGGAATATGAGGAGGGGAAGTGGGGAGGCCTAGAGAAGGCCTCAGAGGTAATAGTGTCTTTGCCAGGCAGAAGGCCTTATTACGATCAGGAGTAATGGCTTGAAATCTTTAGGATGAGGGTTGGAGTTCCACAATGAGGAGGTAGATGTGAAGAAAAAGGCCTTGGTGTTTGGGTGAGTTGGGCCTTCTCCCTAAGGCCTGGAGAGTGCTCAAGGAGGCCCAGGGATATGGGAGGGCCTTTGGTGAGAAAGGGGGTAGGGCACAGAGCCTCAAGAGATCCAAATGTCTTCCTATAGTGGGAGAAGACTGTTAATAGTCCTCAGGACTGGTGGGGGAAGGGGAATGTTGGAGGCCCTATGCCAACAGCTGAGAAGAGAAGGATCAGCCTGACTCTTGGGAAATGGGAGAAAAATCACAGGGGGACTGGGCAGAGGGCTCAGAGAAGTCCTATGGAGTGTGGAAGAAGGCAGAGAGGATTTGAATGTGTTCACCTAGAGTTTCTGGGATGTTTAATGGGACTAGAAAGAAAGATGACTGTGTATGGAGGAGGCCACAAATTGGGAGGGAGTGGTATTCAAGTTGTAGCCTGGAAAGAAGCAAAGAAAATACTGGCTTAAGAAGAATGGAGAAAGGAAGAGAGGAGTCTGTGGATAACAGGGGTAAGAATCCTGTGACTGAGAGGGAATGTGTAAACAGAGGGGACCATATTGAAGGGATAGGGGTGGAAGAACTCTTATGGGCTTAGCCCAGGAAAACAGTTACACAGAAAAAGTTGAATCAAGTTAGGCCTCCTGAAAGGGCCAATTAAGAGAAAGGCATGCTAAGCAGTGCTATTTTGTTTTTGGTGTTTTTTTTTTTTAAAAAAAAGATTTATTTATGCATACAAGAGCTGGGGTACAGGCCAGAGATGCAGGGGGGTGAGAGGACTCACCAGAGACAGAGTGGGGAACAGAACAGGCAGACTGACCGAAATACTAAGCAGTGCTATTTTGGAGGAACATCTCAGTGTGGGCTCAGAGCTAGGGAAGGCTTCCTGGAGGTAGTGGACTAGCTTTGCCAGTGTAAGTTGGGGGGGGGGGTGGAGGGGAATGAGGGGACATGAAAATATGGAATATGGAGCTTGGATTTATCGTGAGTCTAGTAGAGAGCCTATATTAGTGTAGCAGCAGGAAATTAATAGGGTATATTGAATGCCTACTATGTACAAAGAATTGTACTAGACTCTTGGATATCAAGATTCAATTATTCCATAAATAAAGATTAGACCATACCTTAGATATGGTATACTCCAAGATCTTAGATTTATTCTGGGCAGGAAAGAGATGCTATTGACAGAATAAAAATAATGATGGTGAATATTTAGTGAACTTATTATGTCCAACATGGTTTCAAACAGATAGCAAATATTATTCTCCTTAATTTTCACTACAGTGTCACAGAGTGTTATTATCTTCTCTTTTTTTTAATTTTTGCATAGAAGAACTAGGGTGTAGGCCAGATATGCCAGGGTTGGGGGGAAGGGGGTGAGGGGATTGACCAGAGACAGAGTGGGGAACGGAACAGACAGATTTACTGAAATACACTGCTGAAGGAAGCAGTGTGCAAGACAGGAGAGGTCTGCTGCACCATATGTGGATCACCTCCCTGGCCAGGGATCAAACTCAGGCTGTAGGAGGTATAGCACTGTAATTTAACGGCTAAACAACCAGGGAGTCCCTGCCTTTATTTGAAAATTGAGGAAATTAAGACTTAAAGACATGGGGGCCTCCCTGGTGCCGCAGGGGGTTAAGACGCAGCACTGTGAAGCTATCCATAGCCACTGCAGTGCAGGTTCGATCCCCAGCCAGGGAGATGACCCTTATGGCACAGCAGACCTCTCCTGGCTCGTCCACTGCTCCCCTTAGTAGTGCATTTCAGTGGGTCCGCCCGTTCTGTTCCCCACTCTGTCTCTGGTGAATTCTCTTACCCCCCCACACTTCTGGCCTGTACCCCAGCTCCTGTATGCATAAATAAATAAATCTTTAAAAAAAAAAAAACACTTAAAGACATTAATTTGCCCAGGATTCACAGTTAACAAAGTGGTACAGTTAGGATTTTACCTGACTTTGTCCAACGTAAGAGACTAAACCCTTTTGCCTCCATACTATAATGATCTCAGAAATAGAGTTAGCAAGAATAGATCTTATTTTTATGATATATTACATTTACAGATAGAACCTAAATATTTCTGTACTTCATAGGAAAATACTAGAGTTCAGGCCATAGTGGGGACCCAGAATATGGAGGTAGTCTATCTGGAAATATGGGAAGAGATTCAAGAAAGCCTTAATAAAAGCTTGTGATCCTTGAAAGATGAGTAGCTGATATGTTGAAACTGGCAAGGGCTTTCCTGGTAGAGAGAACAACATGCCAAAGGCACAGAGACCTTGTTAGGTCCAAGAAAACAAGTCAGAGACCTCCCCAGTAGTGCAGAGGTTAAAAGTCTCAGCGCTACCAAGCTATGGCCAGCTACTATAGCATGAGTTCGATCCCCCAGCCAGGAAGCTGACCCATATGGCGCAGCAGACCTCCCCTTTCTCGACTGCTGCTCCCCTCAGCAGTGTATTTCAGCAGATCCACCTGTTCTCTGTCTCTGGTGAATCCTCTCACCCCCCTGCATCTCTGGCCTTGAACCCAGTTCTTGTATGCATAAATAAATAAAAATAAATCTTTTTTTTTTTAACAGAAGCTCTATGTTTCCTTCTTTTAAAAAAAAGATTTTTTTTATTTATACAGGAACTGGGGTACAGGCCAGAGGCATGGAAGGGTAATAGGATTCACCAGAGACAGAGCAGGGAGCAGAACAGGCAGACGGACCAAAGACACTGCTAAGGGGAGCAGTGGGCGAGGCAGGAGAGGTCTGCTGCACCATGTGGGTATCTCCCTGGCCGGCTGGGAATTGAACCCGTACTACAGAGGCTGCGGACAGCTTCACAGCGCTGCATTCAATGCGCTGCGCCACTGGGGGGCCCTAAAAATAAATCTTTAAAAAAAAAAAAAAAAAAGGAAAGAAAACAAGTCAGGTAAAGAAATGAAAAAACAGTAGTTTAGTGTGGCTAAAGTATAGGACACAAAACAGGGAGCTGGAGAAGTTAGTAGGGCCCAGAATGTAAAGAACTTTTTTATCATACATATTTAATAGAAGCTTTAAAATGCAGATAGTTCATTATGCTAGGGCAGAAGTGAACTGACCATCTCCTACATGAACATATCAGCTTGCTTTGTGGGATTATCTCACCCTTAAAAATGTACATGGCGGGGTAGGGGAGGGAGTGGGGTTCCCCTGGTGGCACAAGGGGTTAACGCTAAGTACAGTGAAGCTTTCATCCAGGGCCAGGGAGCTGACCCACGTGGCAGCATAGCAGACCTCTCCAGTCTCACCCACTGCTCGCCTCAGCAGTGTATTTCAGTAGATTTGCCTATTCTAACCCCCCACTCTGTTTCTGGTGAATCCTCTCACCCCCACCCCCACATCTCTGGCTTATACCCTAGTTCTTCAACGCAAATATAAATAAATAATAAGTGGATCAGAGTTTAAATTAGACTTAGGTTAGCTTCTATAATTCATTTGTCAAATGAAAAGTGTACCCTTATGTTTTCCTTTCCAATAGGATAAATAATGCTTGGAACCCTGGGAGAAAAAAATAAATTTTGTGTTTTGGTTTTCATAGCCCTCCCCGGCCCAATACTGCAAAGCATCTTACCTCTGCTCAATATATATTACTTGGAAAGGATTGAGGAAACTGCCCTCAAGAAAGGTGAGTGTCTTTCTTTCTCTTTCTTAGTCAGTGATTGTAAGCAAAGCAGCTTGATGTTTTTCAGGTAAATATTACAGCTGATGTCTGCACAGAATCTCATACTTTTCAAAAAATGCCCTCACATCGCCTTTCTTATCTAATTCTTCACAGTATCTTATGAAATACAAAATAAACGTGATTCCTCATAAAAATGGGACCATAGGCACACAACAATTACTAGCAAAACCACACTAGAACCCAGATCATCTAAATCTTATTCTCTTTCACCAAGTTTCTTCCAAAATCCCTCATTGGGCAGATCTATTATCGGCTAACATTTTTCTAACCAACCCTGATGTACCAAGCTGTCCTAGTCACTTTACCTGGAGAAGTCCATTTAATCTTTATAGACGAGATTGGGCGACTTCAGGATGGTATGACTGTAGATTCATTTACTCTTTTCAACAACTGTGAATTAGCTATTATTAACTACATTTTACAGATAAGGAAACTGAAGTACAGAAAAACTAAGTAACTTGCTCAAGGTCACACAGCTAGAGTTTGCTTATATTCAAATCCAGGCAGTCTATATTTAGAGCCAGTACTCTTTACTAGTCTGTCATATAGCTCCTGTGAATTCAGAGGATAATATTTAAAAGGCTGATGTGCTTCACTCATAGTAGCCAAGTAAGTGTGGTATTTCTCCCGACAGGCCTCTCTACTCAGGCCATCTGGCGCCGACTATGGGATGAGCTGATGAAGACAAGGCCTTCCAGTTTGGAAGTAAGTTAAGGCACCAGGTAGAAGTCTGGCCTAACTTTGTGCAGTAAAAGCAGAAATAGCACACAAACCCAAGCTGGGTACTGGTAAAGTACAGGGACAGGGATGGGAATGTATTTGGGAGGAGGGCTCTGATGGTTTGTCCCAAGGTTGTTACCCATTTGTCATTTGGCATTGACTTGCTTGCTCACTTTGTTTTTTGTGACACAAAACAGGAAAAGGTAGAGATTACAATGGATTGCAGAATCCAGATTCATAGAGGTCTCAACAAGGCTAGAGCAATGATCAAACCTAACAAGATGACATTTAATAGAAAAACCCAACTCTTCACTTGACTCTAAAAAATTCCAACTGTATGACCTTTGCATAGCAGGTACAGGGGTCTGGCTTAGCAGCCGCTTATATAGAAAAGATTAAGAAGGTTTAGTCAACAGTATGCTGAAGTCACTCATAATGACTTTACCCTAAGCAATGTGAACTAATGTAATATAGTGTAGGCTAAATGACAAGAGGAATGACAGTCCTACCTGGCACTGTGATGGTCAGGCTACCGCTCCATTGTGGAAAAAGAAGTCAGAGCCACATCATGAATCACAAATTGGAAGACTGGAGATGTTTTTCCTGAAAAAGAGAAGACTTGGGGAACATGAACTGTCTTGAAGTGTTTGGATGGTTATTACATGAGAGATTAGATTTGTTCTGAGCAGAAGCTAAAGGAAGATAAATTTTTGCTACTTTGAATATAGAACTTTTCTTTAAAAAAAAAAAAAGATTTATTTATGCATATAAGAACTGGGGTACAAGCCAGAGGTGTAGGGGGTGAGAGGATTCACCAGAGACAGAGTAGGGAATAGAACACGCAAATTTACTGAAATACACTGCTAAGGGGAGCAGTAGCTAAGACAGGAGAGGTCTGTTGCACTATATATGTGTTAGCTCCCTAGCTGGGGATGGAACTCAGGCCATAGCAGTGATAGTACTGAGACTTAACCACTACACTACCAAGGAGGTCCTGAATATAGAACTTTTCACCTCCAAGCTTTTTGGTAATGAAATAAGCTAATTCCAGAGGCAATAAACTTCCCAGCACTAAGTGTTAAATAGAATCTGGATAACTACTTGACACGAGGGTATTGTAAAGGAAATTTGGCATTGTAAAAGAAGTTGGACAAAATGACTTTTAGGGCTCCTCATAGCATGAGATTCTTTTACTCATTGTTTCAGATATAATGCACTGGAACTCTCATTTAAGCAGAATTTCTTTCATTGCTCCATGATTTGGTGACAGACAATTGAGTACCATAAACATTTGCTAAACCTTACTATTTACTAGGCTTTTTGCTAGATATTAGAAATACAGGCACAGTCCTTAATCTTGAGGAACTACCAGTTTAGTGGAGAAATCTGCAAGTACATCATGTGTGGTAGAATAAGCGATGTGATAGAGTAGCAGGGAGGTTGAAAGAAAAAAAAAAATCAAGAAGCCCTTTCCTAGGAAGTAATATTTGAATTGGGTTCTATATGGTAAGTGAGGTCAGATGACAAAACATGCTGATATCAGGCATAAGTTGGCGCTTTAATTTCTAGGGACGCACTGGGCTCAGTAACATGCAGCTCCATATCCTTCAGCTTTTCCACTTTTAGATCTGGAACCAGCCTCTGGAGTTCAGTGTGATGACACTGAAGCACAACAAAATCCTCAGACCCTTTGTTAAGGAGATAAATAAACCTGAGGAAGAGAAGTGGACGCAAGAATATTAGAAAACAGTAACAACTTCGTGCAACCTTTAAAGAAATATGAGATTCACTTTGTACTAGTGTTTCCCATGCAGTATGGATATTTCAGTATCTTTCTCTTAGAGAAAGTTTTTTTCCCAACATTATCTATCTCAAGCTCCCGGGAGAGAATGTCTATTTGTAATCTTTTCTTGTCTCAGAGAATTTCAGAACGTTTTAGGAGCCTTCCAGCTTGGTGTCTAACGTAATAGTCACCTAGACAGAGGTCCTGAGTTGGAGCATATCCATTCCAGAAAGTGTCTTCTATTTCCCACTTTCGCATGACAGTAATTTTCATTCATAGTTCAGAAACAGTGTCTGCTCAGTTATAGGTACACCAGATTCTAGGATTCAGTGGTGCGTAAAGATAGACCACGGTCCCAGACTGTTTATAAAGCAATAATATTTCAAACTGTGTAATACTAGTGTGTGTATAAAGAAATCTATAGAATAAAATAGATATTTTGGAGACAAACCAATGGAGAAATGAAGAATTACTCAATAAGTGGTTCTCTAGTAACTGATTAATGATTTGGAAAAATGAATTTAGAAGTTTACAACATAATCAAATAATTTCTATATGTATAGAATTGTAAAAAAAGCACACAACAACTTAAGAATAAAGGTGACTGGCTATCTATTCTCAGGATGGAGAGTGCTAATTATTAAATGGGTAGAAAAAAAAAGGAAATATGAACATATTTGGCCAACAAACTATACACAATTTAAAAGATACAGAAACCAGGAAATGCAACAAAATTTGTAAAACAAAGAAACAGCTATGACAAAGGCAAAGTCACAAAATACACAAAAATTTCCAATAAAGTGAATGTGTTCAATCTCATTAATAAAAAATGGTAAAGTAAAATTGTAACTCAAACTAGTAAAGTCTTGTTTTGATTTTTTTAAAGATTTATTTATACATACAAGAGCTGGGGTTTAGGTCAGAGATGCAAGGGGTAAGATTCACCAGCGTGGAGAGCAGAACAGGCAGATATACTGAACTACACTGTTGTGGGGGGCAGCAGGCAAGACAGGAGAGGTCTGCTGTGCTGTATGTATTCACTCCCTGGCTAGCCGGGGATCAAACTTGTGCTGCAGTGACTGGCAATAGCTTGATAGCACTGAGACTTTAATCCCTGCTTTTGTGGGGGACAGAAAATGTTAACTTTCTTAGTGGGCAACCTGGTGATAATTGTCAAAATTTTTTAAAATATTCAAATTCTTTGACTAGAAATTCTTCTTTTAGAATTTATAGTATATAAAAGTGGAAGATACTCATGAGGGTTTATTTCCATATGTTCATTTAGCAAAGTTTAAAATAAAAAAGCTAGAAATAATTTTAATATTAAATACAAATTACATAGTACATTCATATTTTCAAAATATTAGTAAAGTCAGATTCTAAAAATCTTTAAATACATGGTAGTAAAAATGTTTAATGATACAGTGCTATATTAAAAAACCGAGCATTTGAAACAGTTCAGAATTGTGTCTGTTATAAAAACAGACATCTATAGCTATTCACTACATACTCCAGAGTTATTAATTTAAATTTTATTTTTATATTCCCCATACAATTACAACCCCCTTGGAGTTATACATTTTTTGATTTGCTTCTTTCCACAAATATTTGTTTCCCCCAAAGTGGGCAATATATAATTTATGAAATTTTTTTTTTTAAAGATTTATTTATTTATTTATTTATACAAACACTGGGTACAGTCAGAAGTGCAGGAGGGTGAGAGAATTCACCAGAGCCAGAGAGGGAGAGCAGAGCAGGCAGAAGGAGCTAAGTACACTGCTGAAGGGAGCAGCGGGTGGCAGGAGAGGTCTGCGCGCCATGCGGGACCCTCCTCTGGTGGCCGGGGAGCAGCCGGGGATTGAACCAGCGCTACAGAGGCTGCGGGCAGCTTTGCAACCCAGCGCTCAACCGCTGCGCCACCAGGGAGGCCCAATTTATGAAATTTTTTGTCTCAGTTTAATACAAGTCAATTTTAGCGCCCCCCACTTTTATAATTTTACCCCACCAGTGCCTGAAATGCAAACACTGTAGATGAGCCAAGCACCACCTCACCTCTTTGATGTCTCATTTCCCTTACTCTCACTCAAAAGAAAGTATATTTAAATCACTTTGCATAGCCTGTGCAATAATGTCCAAGTCCCCAAAATGAGTGGCTTGGGCTAGCTCTCAGGTGTATTTCAGCCTTGAAGTTTTGAAATTCTTCTAAAAGGCGGTGATAGAGATTCTTCTAAAAGGCGGTGATAGAAGTGTGGTAAGCTGCTGTCTGCTAATTTATGAGAAGCACTGAGATGGTTGTCATAACTACATGCTTATTGAATCCTGATGACAACCCTATGATGTAGGCATAGTTGTCTTCCTTACTTTATACTGAAATTGAGGCAGAAAAAGGAAAAGTAACTTGCCTAGGGTTACAATTTGTAAATGGCAGACCCAGGATCCAAGTTGAGGCAGCCTGGCTCTAGGATGCATGTGCCTAGTCACTGTGTGATGCTACTCTCACCACAATTGTGTCAGGGTGTTCAAATTTTCTTTCCCACTGTTTTCATCAACTAATGAAATGTCTTTAAAACATCCAGTATTTATCTAAACTACACATTTCAATTCCTATAGTCAGAACCAACCACAATATCTTAGTTCACACGCTTGTCATTTTTGAGTTGAAGCCTTGCTAGGGTTACCTATAAGTGTTTTTCAAGGCGGTCAGCACTGGCCAGCAAATTAGAAAAAGGTGCTAGAGTGAGGTTGTATTTGAAGGATTCAACAATATCGTACTCTTTTGAGTCCAAGCAGATTTGGTTGCCAGGTATGTTTTCCTGCTCTTCTGTGTCCCCACACTGCTGCTGGTAACACAGGCTTTTCTGTTGTTGCTATCATGCCAGTTAGCTCAATATTAAGTCATCCACCCTGCTTAACAGGCTTTACCTCTTATAAATTTCACACTGCCCCTCTGAGGCAGTGTTAATTCACTAGCAGCAGCAGAAGTAACATTTTCTATTTTGTAATTTAAGTGCTCTAACTTGCATGGCCTCCTTTAATCTTCACAACAGTCCTGCCTGTGAAGCAGGTGATTTTATGTACATTTTCGAGATGAAGAGGTCTGGAATATAGTAGTTCAGAGCATGTGTCTCAAAGTGAGCACATTCTACTGCATCTTAGAAGTTTGGGATTTAGAGATATCTGTCTCAGTGTGTCTGTTTGTACATCAGAATCACATGGGGGAGGTTTTAAAAAGAGGCATGGACGTTACCTTAGATGTAACATAACCAAATCACACCTGGGTACCTGGCATATGAATTTTGGAAGAAAAAAAAAGCTCCACAGTAAATTCTGATGTGCACCAAAGGTTGAAAATCACTTGCTTTTGGAGTTCTAATGTATCAGAATAGCCTGACAAAGTGTCATATTTATCAAAGCAAATAAATACTGCCTCAGAGAACAAAGAATTCTAAGATTTGGTCCCTGCTCTCCAGGACTTTATAATCTGGCTGGACATGTACACAGGCAGACTCAACTCCATGAGAAATGTGTGGCCTCAAGAGGCAGGGGGAGAGACACTAACAGCCTCAGAGAAATGAATGGCTTCAAAGAGTAAAATGTTAAAGGTCCTTTCATGAAGTCTATTTAGCTTGGCAATGAAGAACATTTCTGACAGATGTGGGAAAGGACATAGAAGGCAAGTTTGGGTCAATGAGATGACCAATTTGGCCAGAGCAAAACATTCATATGAACAAGACGTGGAAATAAAGCTTTCTAGGTAGACAGAGGCCATATCATTGGAGAATTTCTCTGCCAAGCTAAGGAATTCCAAATTAACCCTAGCCAGGTGTTTTACAAAAATGAACCAAGAGGGCTTATACAAAAGTTTGGGAAGGGGGAACAGGAACAGGGAGGGAGAGCAATGAGGAAACTTAGTGTGAGGTGATGAACTGGAAAACTGGTGGTAAGAATGGAAAATTGGGATCAGTTTCTAGAAACAAACGTGAATTTGTTTTCCAAACATGCAATTGTTTCATTTGAACTTTGCACTACAGCAAAATGTCCCCCTGAACCAAATTTCCTGGGTTCACATCTTGAGTCTACCCCTTACATGTGTAATCACATGCAGTAATTCTTGTGCCTCAGTTTACCTATAAAATGGGGTTAATGGTAATACGCCTCAGAGATTTGACTAAATGAATATGTATAAAATATTTAGAATGTTACCTGGCTCATTAGAAGGGAGGAAAATGGGATGTCAGTTTCATTGGTAGCCAGCACTTAGGATCACGGCTGTCTGGCGTGTTCTCTGCTTTCAGAGCGTGACCTGTTGGCGAGCCAAGTTTATGGAAGCCTTTTTTTCCCATGTTCTTCGTGGGACCATTGATGTGTCTTCTGACAGGCGTCTTTGTGACCAGCGCTTCTCGCCTCTTCTGCATAGTTCCCGCCATGTCCGGCAGCTCACCATCTGCAACATGCTGCAGGGTGCAACTGAGCTGGTAGCTGAGCCCAACCGCAGGGTTTTGGAGACCCTGGCCAGTTCCTTGCACACCCTCAAGTTCCGCCACCTGCTGTTCTCTGATGTGGCTGCACAGCAGTCACTTCGGCAGTTGTTGCATCAGCTTATTCACCATGGGGCTGTCAGCCAGGTGTCCCTGTATTCCTGGCCTGTGCCTGAGTCAGCCCTTTTCATCCTTATCCTCACCATGAGTGCTGGCTTTTGGCAGCCAGGCCCTGGTGGCCCACCCTGTCGTCTTTGTGGAGAGGCTTCCCGAGGCCGGGCCCCATCCCGAGATGAAGGGTCCCTCTTGCTGGGCTCACGCCGGCCCCGCCGGGATGCTGCTGAGCGATGTGCTGCAGCCCTGATGGCCTCCCGGCGAAAGAGCGAAGCCAAGCAGACAGCCAGAGCTGCACCTGCCACTCGAGTAACACGCCGGAGCACACAGGAGAGCTTGACAGCAGGTGGGACAGACCCTAAGAGGGAGCTGCACCCTCCAGCTAATTCCCACGAGGCTCCTGGCACCAAGCAGCCACCCACTGCTCCAGCCACAACCTCCTCTGCTTCTGCCTCCTCTTCCTCCTCCACATCCTCATCCAAAAGAGCTCCAGCTAGCTCAGCCACACAGCCTAAGCCCCTAAAGCGTTTCAAGAGAGCTGCAGGGAAGAAGGGTGCACGCACCCGCCAAGGGTCTGGTGCAGAGTCTGAAGACCTATATGACTTTGTTTTCATTGTGGCTGGTGAGAAGGAGGATGGAGAAGAGATGGAGATCGGGGAAGTGGCTTGTGGAGCTTTGGATGGATCAGATCCCAGCTGCCTAGGGCTTCCAGCACTGGAAGCCTCCCAGCGATTCCGCAGCATTTCCACCTTGGAGCTATTCACAGTTCCGCTCTCCACTGAGGCAGCTCTGACACTGTGCCACCTGCTGAGCTCCTGGGTGTCTCTGGAGAGCCTGACACTCTCCTACAATGGTGAGTGCCCTGGAGGGGCAGGGGTTGGATCTCCTAGCAGCACTAGCTGTGAGCAGAGGGCAACAGGCATTACCACCAGGAAGCTAGAGATGTGGCCCTGCCTCCTCACAGGGAGATAGAAGGTACACACAAGAAATCGTGGCAAGATTGTCAGTGCTAGGGAAGAGGAAGTCTATAGACATGGGTCCTGAGGGACAGTGAGGCAAAAAAAAAAAAAAAAGCTGGAACCTGAATACATTTTAGATATGGAAGGCAATCCAAGGGCGGGTGGAAACTGTGTAATGTCCATCAGCCCAGCCTGGATCTTACTAGTGGTATCAAAACAGACAAGACAGGGACACATTTCTTTAATTGGACTAGCAACCTGCAGGGCAGTTCTCAGTCTTATCCCACCTGGCTGTGCTGGCTAGCAAAACCACTTCTGACTAAACATAGCAATCTGCCTCGGTTGCTGAGCACTGTTAGAGCAAAGCCACACAACTGTGCAGACTGCTGCTACTGTGTGTTCATCTTCACCAACCTCATGAGTCCCATTTATAACGTCAGCTCTCACTCCTACTCTACCACTTCCATAACCTCCCCCAGCAGATTGCCCTCACCTATGTCACAAAAACACAAGCCATCACATAACATGTACTCCTACTTACTAACCTAGAAGTTCTCCAGTTGCATTCATCTCTCCCTCCCTCTTTCACCAAGAGGGAAAAGACCACCATCCAGATTTTATTTATTTTTTTTTTTTAAAAGGACTGAAGTTTTTTTTTTTTATTTGTTTGTTTGTATTTATACAAGCACTGGGTACAGTCAGAAGCGCGGGAGGGTGAGAGAATTCACCAGAGCCAGAGCGGGGAGCAGAGCAGGCAGAAAGACCTAGTACACTGCTGAGGGGAGCAGCGGGCGGCAGGAGAGGTCTGCACGCCATGTGGGACCCTCCTCCGGTGGCCAGGGAGCAGCCGGGGATCGAACCGGCACTGCAGAGGCTGTGGAGCAGCTTTGCAACCCAGCGCTCAACCGCTGCGCCACCGGGGAGGCCCACCATCCAGATTTTAAGGCTAATTCCTCTACCTGTGCTCTGGATCCATACCTTCTCACTTCCTTAGGAAAGCTTGCTCCTCACATACCTTTTTACATACTGCCTAACACATGTTCAACTTATTTTAAGTGTCACTCTACCATGTAATGAAACCTTGCGACAACTGAGGCCAACTTGGTAAATTATGAGTCAAACCCAAGCAACCTGGCTCCAGAATCCACTTACTGCTGCCTCCCTTCTCTCCAATTTATGACCCCATCAACATTTAAACATTGAATCAGGGGCCTCCCTGGTGGCCTCAGTGCTATCACCTCTATCAGGGCCAGGGAGCTAACCCATACATAGTGCAGCAGACCTGTCTACCTGCTCTACCCTTAACACTGTATTTCAGCCAGTCTGCCTGTTCTCTCCCCACTCTTGTCTCTGGCAAATTCTCACACACACACACTTCTGACCTAAATCCCAGTTCCTCTACACACACAAAAAAAAATTAAATCAGGTGTCCACCAATAACTGCTGCTTTCCTTTATCCCATGTTAAAGGATTCTAGTCATTCTTGTCCCTCAAAGTGCTCCAGTCACCTGTGCTAGCACTTCCCACAGCCAACTCCAGTTATTTAGAACTCCTGCATTTAGGACATAGGTCACCAAAGACCTCTGCTGCGAAGTCCAAAGCATACTTTTCAGCCCTCACCTTACATTAATTCCTGGCAGCATATAGCACCATTATCTTCATAAGTTTTTTTACACTACCTCAAAATCTGATTTTTTTTCTCCCTCTGGACATCACCTCTCTGAATTCAGTTAGTCAGAGCTCTCCTGCTTTATCCATGTTGCCTGGGCGTTTTTATCCATTCCTTTGACTTCAAAGTCAAACTATGCTGAAGACTCCCTGTATTGACATTAGCTTACCAAGTTATTCTCTTTAAACTCCAGACCCATCTATCCAGCTAACTACTAAATGTCACTTCATAATCAGAAGTTTCCCAAATTCATGTCCAAACTGAGTGCATCTTCTCCCTAGAGGGATCCTCTCCTGTTTTCAATGACATCACAGGTGACTGCCCCAAAGAAACCTGTGTCCTTTCTTACCCCATCTTTGATTTCTAGATAACTTGCCAGTCTCTCAAATCCATTTCTCCAACTCCACATCCTTGATTCAGCTAGCTGCCATACTTCCCACCTGGATTCATCATTTTAACGGTTCCTTCTGACCCACACTCACTATACAATCCACTGTGTACACTACAGTCCAAGCATTCTTTCAGAAACGCTGATCTGGCTGTCATTCATTCATTTAAAAACTTCACTGGCTTCCTACCAAACTTACCTCTAAGGATCTTTCATACCTCCCCCTAACTCATCTGACATATTAGCCACACTACTCATTTTTGTTTTGGGAACCTGTCACTTTCTCCTCCATGCCTTTATATGTTGCCAAGTTCTGCCAAAATAGTTCTCTTTCCTGTTAGCCTGTCTCCTTAATGTTCTTTTAGATTCAGCCTTTAGTGATGTAAACTAGATGTTAAGCACCCATCCTTTATATTTCCACAATACTCTACTTCCCCAGTTCCCACATTTTTGTTTTCAGGCTTGTATCTTATTGTCTAGCCAAAAAAAAAAAAAAATCTGATTACTAGGTGTGGTGCTGGCTAAGGTTTTGTTGGATGAACAGGAACCCACTCAATCCACGGGGAAAGGAGAGCGAGACAAATTCCTTGGAATTATTTGCTCTGTGGCCTTAAGAAACTACCCTAACCTTTCTGCATTCTGCTCCTTCTGTGGTTATCCACTTCTGCCCCATTCCCATCCAATGACAAAATACTCCCTACTGGTTTCCTGTCATTCTTCTGCCTCGTTTTCAGGTGTTTCCCATAGCCTATCGTGAAAGTCCAGAGACCTTTGCTATCTTTCAATCAGCAGCCACATGCTGTCCCAACACATCCTTTATCTTGTTTTGTGACTGCCCTGTTTTGAGGTTGTAGTATAGTAGACATCAGTTTGCTGGTTACCTGAGGAAAAAGCAAGACAATGAATAGTGCAAATGATTTTAAATAATCTGATCCAAAGCTCAGATTTGGTAGTTGTCAACAGGTAGACCTGGAATTATCTCTGAAAACTGTACCTAAGACCGCCATATGACTCACCTGCTCTCTCTTCCGTCGTAGGCTTGGGCTCCAACATCTTCCGCCTGTTGGACAGCCTGCGGGCCCTTTCAGGCCAGGCTGGATGCCGCCTCCGTGCCCTCCATCTCAGTGACCTATTCTCACCACTGCCCATTCTGGAGCTGACGCGTGCCATTGTGCGAGCCCTGCCCCTGCTGAGGGTCCTCTCAATTCGTGTCGACCACCCCAGCCAGAGAGACAACCCTGCTGTGCCAGGGAATGCAGGGCCCCCTAACCACATAATTGGGGATGAGGAGATACCAGGTGAAGCACTGTGCATGCATGTATGCACATATCTCCACACATGTGCAGGTGCAGGAAAATGTCTAGTGCAGGCCTACCACTCAATCCTGTCTTATTTGAAATCTGCCCCCTTTAGAGCACTGGTCTAGACAGAGCCCAGACCATAAGCCCAGAAGGGAGTAATCAGGCAGTTTAGTCTTCAGAAAAGGAGTCTGGACCATCTTTAAGTCTGGATCTGACTTTCAGAATAGATTAGCTCTACCTGCTGTAGGTTCTTTTAGTTCCTGTCCCTCCATTCTGCATATTTGCTTCTCATAATCTCCTTAAAGGCAATGACTGAATTTTATAGTACTTTTTCCTGAACCTATCAGTGCCTAGCAGATAATAGGCAATCAAGGAAGTTATTTTTTAGTAAACCCCTTAAGGATGGGCTGAGATCTACTATGGGAATTAAGCAGAAATGGCCACCTGGAATCTTCTCTTCTACCATATCCAGAAAACTGCCTGGAACAGCTGGAGATGGGGTTTCCACGGGGAGCCCAGCCAGCCCCACTGCTCTGTTCTGTACTGAAGGCCTCAGGTTCTCTGCAGCAACTGTCCCTGGATAGTGCCACCTTTGCCTCTCCCCAGGACTTTGGGCTTGTGTTGCAGACACTCAAAGGTAGGACCCAACCAGAATAGCTAAGGGAGATGGGTAGGAGGGGACTCTGCATTGCTCTTTGGGAAAGCTAAGACTTGTCACTTCTGCCCCCATCCAGAGTACAACCTAGCCCTGAAGAGGCTGAGCTTCCACGACATGAATCTGGCTGACTGTCAGAGCGAGGTGCTCTTTTTGCTACAGAATCTGACTCTTCAAGGTAAATTCTTTATCCAGAACGTTGGGTATTTCCTGGGTCCTCATTTTGGTGATGCCACTTAAACAACTGAATAAGTTACTATGCCTGTGTCCTCAACTATCAATATAAGATGGTTATAGAATCAGCATGTTCCTCCTTTTAAAAAAGCTCCAAAACTTACTGTATCTTCTATTAAACTTGGGAAATTACCTTTAGAGTACATCACTCAAACATCTCTACCTCTCAATGGCTGTCAGAAATGACAGTGGGGAGCGACAGATGTACCATCACAGGCTCCCTTCATAGACTTGACTCTAGTCCCCACCCTTGCATAGAAGAACAGAAAAGAGGAAGTGCATGAAGAACTGTTCATGCAGAGAAAAGTCCGTACAGTAAACCAATTTGGTCTGAATTCTGATTTAGTTCTAGCTTTGCTTGGGATCTTGGGACAAATGTCTACCTTTTTCTGGGCCACTTGCTAAGTAAGATTAGCTGGGGCAGGAGGGGCAGCACCAGTCCTAATACAGCCATCCAAATTTATTCTAACTTCTCTTCACAGAGATTACCTTCTCCTTCTGTCGTCTGTTTGAGAAGCGCCCAGCCCAATTTCTGCCTGAGATGGTTGCTGCTATGAAGGGGAACTCCACACTGAAGGGCCTTCGGCTGCCAGGGAACCGCCTGGGTGGGGGCAGGACCCTGGGGAGGGAGGGGGGAAGGAACTAATCCTTTGACCTAGAAAAAGTGAGTGAAGGCATAGACCTCTTCACTGGGAATAAGGGGGTTGGAATATAGTGTTCTGGGGCTTCAGGAGGCTGGTATTCTCCCCAACCAGAATTGGTTGAGACATCTTTGTTCCTGTTCTTGAGTGGAGGTGACAGGCACTTCTCTCCTCTCCAGGGAATGCTGGCCTGCTGGCCCTGGCAGATGTTTTCTCAGAGGATTCATCTTCCTCTCTGTGTCAGCTGGACATCAGGTACATGTGGGAGGGTGGGGGGCCAGGGAGGGAGCTGCAGGGATATAGACCAGGGATTAGTTGCTTCCTGAGTATCTAATCCATCTCACCCCTACCAGTTCCAACTGCATCAAGCCAGATGGGCTTCTGGAATTCGCCAAGCGGCTGGAGCGCTGGGGCCGGGGAGCCTTTGGTCACCTGCGCCTATTCCAGAACTGGCTGGACCAGGATGCAGTCACAGCCAGGGAAGCCATCCGGCGACTCCGAGCCACATGCCATGTGGTTAGCGACTCGTGGGACTCATCCCAGGCCTTCGCAGATTATGTCAGCACCATGTGATGGAGCCCATGCCTCATAGGCCCATGCTCAGTACCGTCAGCTTGCAAGGGCTGAGGCATGGGCTGCCCAGAACTCCCAACCACAATTCTTTCTCTTTCTGTCACCTTTTTTTCTCTTTTTTCCTTCTTCCTTTGCACTGAGGTCCTGGAGGCCTTGATGGAGCCCAGCAAAGGAACTCATTCCCACAACTGGGTTTAAAGCCTTTGGGCCCTTTTACCCAGTACTGTGGGAACCCTGGGCCAGGAGGCTACAGTGGTCATCCATCACTGAAGACAGCCCCTCTCCCCTGCCCCAGGGTTCCTGCTTTCCTTCCTCAAGCAGGTACCCAGGCTTTAAAGAGTGTAGAAGTGCCCACTACCAGGTCTCTGCTGGGCTCACCATGCTGCTCCCAGGCCTCAGTCCCTTTCATACCTTTATTCCTTTCTTTTTTTTAACCAAAAAAGTTTTTCTTATAAAATAAATTTTGGGCCAACATCACATAGCCCTCCTTGATGATTTTTCTCCCAGAGAACAAAATTTAGCAGGGACCTCGTGGAGCAGAGAGCCACTTTCCCTGTCCCTTCCTCTAACAGCTACACCCAGCTCAGCTGGTTATCAGTGGAGGTCCTGCTGATCCTCATGGGAACGCTGGTGGAAGACGAAGGTGATGGCAGTAGAGGCAGCATCCCAGGCAGCCTGGAGTACCTCATCCTTTAGCCCCCGTTTATCAGTGCTATGGTTCCACTGAGCCAGGTCTGAGGTGCAGTCAGAACCATCAGGGGGGGGCCAAACCTGGTGGTTGTTGACACAGCGACGGCAGTGCAACCTGGGGCAGAGGACAAAGCTGTCATCACTACAAGCTCCGTCTTCATGTTGTACAGGGAGTTCAGAGATAATGCCAACCAGGGACTGCACCCACCTGTCATGCGTGTCACTGAGGGTAGTCTCATCCAGGGTAAACAGTTCCTTCAATTCTCCCAAAGAGAAGTGCCGCTCCACATCCTGCTCCTCATCTACCACACAGCTGCTCAGTGCCTTCTTGTGGCTCTGACGCTGAAAGATCTTCTCTTCAATGGTTCCAGCCTGGGGAGAGTAGGGACAAGGATGCAGGCCTCAATCATCCCCATACATAGAGGGTAGGAAAACCCAGGGGTCGAAACTGTAGCCACCCAGTTATTGCTAAGAGTCCTATAGCAATACCTCTGCTAACTTAGCCATTTCCCCAGTTTGTCTTAAGAATGTGAATTATGCGTGTCCACACACACAAGATATCCTTTAGATCAATGGAAAATTTCAGGGACTGGCTAAATTCCTTCAGGGTGAGATGAGATTTGTTTGCAATTACTTCACCAGGCCTCCACACCAAAACAAAAACAGAATAAATATTTGGGTATCCTCTGCCAAACCATACCAAGATACAAAGAATTAAATATTATTCCCTATTCTTGAGCTCAGAGACTAGTGGGAGAAACAAACATATAATCTATTTAGTACAATAACAAATCTCTATAGGGTGCTCAGGGACCCACATGAGGGATGGTAGAAGAAAATGTTAAAAAGCTTTAAGCAGAGTCTCTTGAAATGAATCTTAAAAAATGAAGATGGCTTATAAGACAGAAGGGAAGCCATTGCCAGCAGAGGAACAAAGGAAAAGGCCTGGCCCAATGGAGGACTGAAGTCAGTCCATCCAGAGAATGGTGGGAGTGTAGTTAAGAGCTGGACTATGAAAGTCAACAGAGCCATCCTGGAGAACCTGGGATGCCAAACTGAAGAGCTCTTTCTGGAAGCTGTGTGTGAAAAATGGGTTTGAAAAAGACCAAAAGTAAAGAATTAGGAAGCTGCTTCAATATTCAAGTGAGACATGACTGTGACCTTAATATGGCATGGAGGAGGGCTGCACAGGAGACATTTCAAGAATATAAAATCAGTGACAATTTATAGGAATTTGATTGTTAGGAGATAAATATCCCAGTAAGAGGATTCCCCAGAATTAGGTTGGGTAGATAATGGAGCCATTAAATGACAACATTCAGCAGGGGGAAAGAATTTAGTCATGATGTATCTTAAGTGCTCATAAAACATTCAAGTGGAAATACAGTAATGATGGAAATAGGGCTCTAGAACTCAAATAAGCTCTGGGCTAAAATTTTAGTTAAGAGATTTGTCAATATGAATATTTGTAACCAGAGATGAGTTTCAAGAGACTAAAGATTAATAGTCAATTGTGTCCGACACATAAAGAGGAAGAATCAAGTCTGTTGGCAATTAGACAACAGTACACTTGAAAGCAAGTTCAATGACAGAAGTGATCTGATGAATGAGATGAGAGGTAAGACTAATCTGTAGCCTTTGGAAACATGGTGAGTGAATGGAAAGTAACTCAATGTGGTTGCTACAACAGCAGAGAAATTTCTCCAGAGAGAGAGAAGACTTTAAGGTGAGAACTATTTGAGCATGTTTTTAGACTTCAGCAGAATAAAGGAGGAAGTGATCAACTAAGAAAGCATGGAAAGAGGTCTATATCAGAGCTGGAATGAGTCTCAGAGAGGAAGGAAATGATCTTCTGAGATGGGAACAGCAGATGTTGTGACTTAGTAAGAGACAAAGGAAGATGAGAGATGTCAAGCTGGGTAGCCAATATTTTCTTTCTGAAGTAGAAGACAAGATCTCTGCAGAAAGAATGAGACAGAGGTAGGAAACTTGAGAGAAGTGGTAAAGGTTTGAAGTGGTTGTTGAAGGAAATGAATGAGATACAGCCCAGCCTAAAATGGAGACTATGACTCTGTGACAGTGGCAACCTGTAAATGCAAATTTTAGCTGGTGTAGAAGCTGAGAATAGCTGTAATGATTCTTAGTGAAAGTGTAGCTGAAAGGATGCATAGTGAGGATCACGCTGACAAAAGGAGAAGTCAAGCCAGATTCAGAGGCAGGCACTTAAGACATTAGATGGAAGCAGATTGTAGTAGGGATAAGAAAGCTGGAAGGACAGGAAGAACAGACAATACTCAAGTTTAGGGTGATGTATGTTTCAGAGTGTAGTTTTGGGAGTAACTAGAGGGGTTGAGGAGAGTTACAGAGGTTATTAGAGATGAAGACTAGGAAATATCAAGATCAAAGTGCTGGATAATGGCATGATACCTGAAACCAGGATGATAGCTGGGTTTGGGAAAATCAGAAAGAGTGAGCTACTATCCACAGTCATTAATGAATTAGAAGAGCAGAGGCTAGATGACCAGCAAAGAAAAGAGGGTGATCAAGTCAAACAAAGAGCTTCAAAAGAGAACTGTGGAGGGGCCTCCCCGGTGGCGCAGCGGTTGAGCGCTGGGTTGTGAAGCAGCCCGCGGCCTCTGCGGCGCCGGTTCGATCCCCGGCTGCTCCCCGGCCACCGGAGTAGGGTCCCACATGGTGCGCAGACCTCTCCTGCCGCCCGCTTCGGTCCTTCTGCCTGCTCTGCTCCCCACTCTGGCTCTGGTGAATTCTCTCACCCTCCCGCGCTTCTGACTGTACCCAGTGCTTGTATAAACAAACAAACAAATAAATAAATAAAAACATGCCTCTATTTAAAAAAAAAAAAGAGAGAGAGAGCTGTGGAACAGATGATCTGAGCAAGCACAGCTTGCAAAATGCCAACACTTCTGAGGCCCGTGTGAAATGGACTATGAGAAAACGAGAATGCAAGTAGCTCAGAAATCAGGTCTGAGGGGAAGCAAGCGTCTTGTGAAAAGGCTGAGATCATGGGGGAGTTTTATTAACTAGTCATCAGATGCCCAGAGGGCATAGTAAGATGAATTTGGAGGACTGAGGTGGAAAGAAAACAAAAAAATAAATAAATAAAGGGTTCTAGGCTAGCAAAGGGTCAAATAGAGGAACTAAGAAGTCCTGAAGGTCTTGTTCCATTCATTGCCCACCCCTGCTCTAACCACTATCAACATCCTTACAGAGAGCAGACGATAGATATAGCAGGTCTTCTTCTGACCGTCACGCCAGACTCGGGCCATAGCTTGTTCATCATTGGCTGGATTCCAGTCAGGGTCAAACATGACCAGTCGGTTAGCCCCAATGAGATTGAGGCCACAGCCTCCAGCTTTGCTGCTCAGCATGAAAACAAAGTCAGGGCTCTGAAAAGAGAGGATGAAAGAGAAAAAGAACCTCTTGCAACCTGAAATGGAATCCTACTCAGCCCAGTTGACTGTTCTCTTACAATCAATACTCTATGTCAAGACCAGTGGTGAAGACCACTAGTTTATCTGCCTACAGGCCAACTTGCCAGCCTGAGAACCGATCCCCTCTATAGTTTTAAGTCAACCTTTATTTGGTATCACTTCATTGGTAGTATGGAGTCAGGGGCCATGCATTTACCAACGGATCATTGAAGCGCTCCACAACCTTGGCTCGTTTCTTAATGGACATCGTGCCATCCAAGCGAACATATAAGTACCTGAAGGGGAATCCAAAGATCAAAAGCCAAGAAGGAAGAAGAATCCCTTGAAGCAAGAGCTACTGAAGGGACTAAACTAATAATGCTTGCGACCACTATGCAAGGCCTGAGACCTAAACCCCCAAAGTGAAGGGCAATGAGATAGGGGTGAGGACTTTGTGCTGTAGGAGCATATGAAGGACCAGGGGCAATTCTGCTTGGAGATAGAGCTAGACCCAGCACAGCAATTAGGGAACAGACATCATCTGGGAAGTCTTGTGCACACATCTGGGAAGTCTTGGCACAGAGCCACCAACCAGAACACCTCTTCTTCCTAGAGGGTCAGGAGGGGAGGCACCCCTTAAGCAGTCTGGTTAGGCTCTTCCTTACCTTCGGACCCGGCAGAGCTTCTCAAAGAGGTCCAACGTCTGGGTATAATTGGACACCAGTACTACTTTGTCACTGCTGCGGCTTCGGGTCACCGCCAGAATGTAGTCAAGGACCAGCATCTTACCTGGGGGTATCAGCAACCATTAGCCCCCAGTGGACCATCCTAATGGCCTAGGATTGATTTTTCTTGATAGCCTGCCTTCAGATAGGATAGGTCTAGCACAGAGAAGCACACAGACTAGAAGGGAAGAATCTCACCTGATAGCTGGGGCTCTATAGCCTTAGAGCTATAACCTGGGGGAAACAAGTCCAGGGCACCTTCAAAGCCACCCTCTTCCTCGACACACTTGTCATAGATTAGAGCTGGATCTAAGGGGGGGAGGGGAAAAGTCAGTTATATTGCTTTCAGAAGTTTCCATTTTAGTGCTCATTAGAAGTCCCTCTTGAAGCCTACCCAGAAGACTTCCCTCAACGCCAACTTTGTTTGGTCTCTACCACTCCAAATTCCAGTATGCAATCAGAACTATCTTGGACCATGACTGGATAACCTTGCCCGCTGGTGTGTTCGCCCAACAAGAAGGGAGGTATATCACAGAGGGCAAAATTTGTTATTTTTCCTCCTTCCCAACATTTTAGACGCATGTGTGTGCATGCACATGTTCATACACAGCTCTATACACTCCAACCATCAAGCATGGGCTCAGCAAAGGGTTAGCTGAATTTCCCACAATGTCTGATTTAGAGTATGCAATGCAGAACTCATGCTTTGGGAAGGGGTGGAATCCCATACACACAGCCTCTATGAGGACTCTGAATAAGTTTGTAAAGGTGGCCCCCCCTTCCTTGCTCACTCTCACAGAGGCCCCCAGGGCACAGGCCCAACTCACGATTACATAGCTTCTTAAGAGAAGTGATGGAAGAAAGGGAAGACACACTCATTTTGCCCTCACGCAGCTCTTCTGCTGGCTTGGCCTGTCTCAGAAACCTCTTGTATAATTCATTCTGAAGGAGTGTAAGCCTGAAAAATAAAGGCAGCTGGATCAATGGGAAAGGCTGGACCAACTTCTGTCCTCTGAGGAGACACTGAGAGCCATGCCTCAGGAACTGAGCTTTTACCCACTCACTCCATATCACCCATTTGAGTTCAGTACCTACAACAAACCACCTGCTCAATCTTCACAGGCAGATATTTAGAAAGGATATCAGATGTCCTCCGTATCAGGCACCTAGGAAAAATAGGATAAAAAGGCAACGTGCTGGTAAATTTGTAATGCTAATTAACAGTGTAAAAGCTACTAGCCACAACCACCAAAATTGATTCTCTTATGTAACATTAAATGTTAGAGACGCTTCAGTCTTATGGCAAAGACATCTTTATCAGGGTCTCAATCATGGAAAGTCTAGGCTACACTGACAACTTTCTCTTTTCCTTCAATAGGTTAGCTGGTTTTCAAGAAATGGTCATGGTCTTCTATTGAGACTGGTGCCTACAGGTAAAGCAAGCTGCAAACCACTAAATTTTTAGGGGTTCTGCTTGCATTTGCCCAATGCCTGCTGCCACATGGCCCAAGGCTCAAAATTAAGTGCAGAGTTCCTGGCAAACCAGTAAGCACAAGTGATCAAGTAGCTAAGACACACTGATTCTCCCCTCCTGCCATCGAAAGCTGGGAGGGAGAGGTGCCAGTTGAGCAGGGTAGCACTCTTCAGGATGTCAAATTATCAGGTATATATTCCTACAACAGAGAATGTACTTAGCCCCTGGGCTATATGATCCCCATGGAAAAAGCCTTCACACCTGAGAGAGCATTTATCCCTTAAATATAGTCCTACCTGCCACAGAAAGCTATGGGGCATGGAAAGGGAAGCTTCGTGCTTTAGATCTGAGACTGACAACAGAAAGCTCCTGAAGTACTAGTACTTCAAAGGATACTTTGCTCAGGAATTCCAGCAGCACCTGAAAAGAGCTTTCTTGAGCAGTTCTAGTGAGTCCGCCCTAATGGCCTAGGGGTTAAGTCTCAGCACTATCACCACGATGGCCTCAGTTCGATCCCTGGTCAGGGAGCTAGCCCACATATGGCGCAGCAGACATCTCCTGTCTCGGCTGTTGCTCCCCTCAGCAGTATTTCAGTAGATCTGCCTGTTCTGCTCCCCACTCTGTCTCTGATGAATCCTCTCACTCCCGGCACCTCTGGCCTGTAACCCAGTTCTTCTACACCAAAAAAAAAATAAAGTTCTAAGCAATTCAAACCTAGATCACAGAGTCCAACCCAAGAACAAAGCAGACATCTGGCCTACAGACCCCTTCATTTATTTAGTGGCTATAGTTCAGGCAGATCCTTGTCCCTTCCTATAATCCCATTCCTTGAGGCCTCTAGAAGTTCAGTATCCCCTCCCCCTCCAACCAAGTACTGCCTTGGATAGCTTTCAAGATAATTCTGATCACCTAACTTGGGGGAACCCAAAGAGAGAGTTTTGCTGTCTAGCCCAGCCCCCACCCTGTGGTACCTGTTCACAATGCTGATGAGTTCCCGTAGTCGCTCCTCTCCGAGCTGCCTGTCTGCCTCACTGGCAGCCGCATCTCTACCCTTCAAAATTGGCAACTCAAAATGCTTCTTGAACTCATGGGCAGTTCCTAAATATGGGAAAGAAGGAAAAATTAAAGCATTAAAGAGTGTGGAAAAGGAATCTTTCCCCAGTTACAGTAATGAAAGACTACTTTGTTACAGACCAACCTTCTCGCCAAGAACAAAGTCAAATTATAGGCAATTTCTGTTTGAACGGATCAGAAAGCTACCAAAGCAGTGAAGACTTTACAGGCCAAATAGTGAGACAGTGGCATCCAAATATACATTTAAATGTAAATATAAACGAACCAGATAATCCAGTTGAAAGACAAGCCCACTGTTAGGCTAGATCATTTTTAAGTTCACCTATATACTGTTGTGAAAAAAGAAGTAGTATGTCAATCAACAAAACTACAATATAGATAAATCTTGTAAACATTACTCAAAGCAAAAGAAGCCAAACACAAAGGTAACATATTGTATAATTTCATTGATGTGAAATATCCAGAATAGGTAAACCAGAGACACGGAGATCAGACTGGTGACTGCCACAGATTGGGAAAAGGGAGGCTAGAGTTCTTTTGGGCAGGAATGAAAAAAGGACCAGGTAGCTCACAAAAAATGGCCTATGAACATATTAAACATATTCAACACTAGGCAAATGCAATGAGGTCTCATTAAATACCCATCAGAAAGACAAAAATTAAAACAAAAAGGTGTTTTGCCTTTTTTTTTAAAGATGATAGACATTGGGTGAGAATATAAAGCACAGAGCAGCAAACTACAGCCATGGGTCAGCCACCTTACTGTAAATTAAATTTTATTACAACACAGCCAAGCCCACTTGTTCACACATTTTTCATGACTGCTTTCATAATGCAACAAGAGTTGAGTGGTTGTGAAAGAGACAGTATGGTCTTCAAGCCTTAATACTTATCTAGCCCTTTAAGAAAAAATTTGCTGACCCCTGATAATAAAGACACTGAAATTCTCATACACTGCTGGTACAATCACTTTGGAAAATCATAGTATCTATTTGACTGGAACACATTCATAACATATGACCCACTTTTAAATATTTCACTTTTAGGATAGACCCAAGAGAAATGCATTATTACATTTAGAGATATGTGTAAGAATGTTCATATTGGTTCTCCCCGTTGGCGCAGCGGTTGAGCGCTGGGTTGCGAAGTTGCCCGCAGCCTCTGCAGCGCCGGTTCGATCCCCCCAGCCACCAGAGGAGGGTCCCACATGGCACGCAGACCTCTCCTGCCGCCCGCTGCTCCCCTCAGCAGTGTGCTTCGGTCCTTCTGCCTGTTCTGCTCCCTGCTCTGGCTCTGGTGGATTCTCTCACCCTCCCGCGCTTCTGACTGTACCCAGTGCTTGTATAAATAAATTGAAAAATAAATAAATCTTAAAAAAAAAAGAATGTTCATATTATGATTCAAAAGAACAAAAACTGGAAGCAACTCAGTTACCTCTAACAGAACAGATAAATAAATCTGGTGTATCTGTAAAATGAAATAGTTTACAAAAATAAAGCAAACTACTGCTACAGGAAACGTGGATGAATCTCAAACATAATGTTGAATGAAAGGAACCAGATGCAGAGGAATATTTTCTGAATATATACTCAATTTATATAAAGTTCAAAAATAAGCAAAATCAATCTGTAGTATGAGAAGAGTGTTTACTTCTTAAGAAAAAGAAGGTAATGATTGGCGAGGAGGTTGCTGAGCTAGGTTAATAACTGATCAGGTGCTGGTTATACAAATGTGTTTACTTTGTGAAAATCTTGCCTCTCAGCTGGTTCTTTGCCTGAAGTTATCCACCTGAACACTAACAAAATGGGGCAGCACCAAGAAGCCCTTCCATAGATATGTTATTGCAACTGGTTGCCAGGAATGGGGGGAGTGGGGAAGTGGAATTATTGTTTAATGGATAGTATTTCAGTTCTAGTAGATGAAAAAAGTTCTGGAAATAGATGGTGATGATAGTTACACAACAACGTGGATATAACTAATGCCACTAAACTGTACACTTAAAAAATGTTTAAAAAAAAAAAAAAAAAACTGCCCAAGACAGAATCTGCTCTGAAGCCAAAGCTCCTGTGATGCAGCTAGAATGTGAGGAACAAAAATGCCTGTGGACACCACCATGGTGTCCACCACAGACATCATGCCCTGCGTAGCCCCTGCCATCTCCACAGTAGAAAAATGGCCAGAGTGGGTTTCACTGGCCAAAGCTTCTAATGACTTTGTTAAAAAAAAGTCTTCCTAGAAGAATATCTAATAGCCTATAGATTATTGGCAATCTCACCTTTCTCTGCTCAGCTAAGAGTTGCTACCTCAAGACCAAGGAAAGGCTCTTCTTCAATAGAGCAGACAACACCAGATTCTTACCCAGGATGCCTGAATTAACAAAATGTACCAGGCTGAAATACTCAAGGAGATCATTCTGGATGGGGGTCCCAGAAATAAGCACACGCCGGCTGGTATTCAAGCTGTCCAGAGCCTGGTAAGTCTGATTCTCAGAGTTCTTGAGCCTGTGTCCCTGCAAGGAAATTCTCACTTAGGCCTGGGCACAAAGTGGCATCCCTAAGGATATCAAAGTCTTGTGTGGACAGGAAAAGAAGAATCACACGTATTATAGGTCATGTGTCTGAGCAGGGGGGCAGCAAGAGTGAGTCTAACCACCTGTGTGGGGAGAAAAATTAGGCTTAATAGATGGACCTTCAGTTCCCAGACAGTGCTTCAACCATAAGGCAAGGATTCCATTTCCTTTTTCCCTGTTTCAACTTCCAGGGCCTTAGCAGCCTACCTATCCCATTCAGAGATCATTTCAAAAATGCATGCTTTCAGGGAGTCCTCCCGCCCCACCAGCCCAAACAATCCAGAAGCTCCTAAGCCAGATCCCTTCTATATTCACCTCCAGGCCTTGTCTGGGCTGTCAGTGTTTAAACAGAATTATTGCCTCTTCCCCACAATTCCTACACTCCCTGTCACCCGTCTCCTATACATACCTGTTATTTCTTTTAAGCTTTTTTGAAGAAAATGGTAAAAGATCCTATCACTTTTCCACAAGAAGTACATGGAAAGGATCAGGCCTGTGCCTTCTCTATTCCCAGGCCCAATTTAGCCCCATACTGGGCAAGACAAATAAAACTCAAGAACCAGTGCAAATGAGTACATCAGCTTTGCTCCCTCTGGTCAATCTTTTACAATCCAGTGAAACACATACCCTGCACTGACTCTTCCACCTATAGTATCATGAGGAAGCTTGTTAGCTCAGCACTTCTCAGTAAGGCCCCAATTAATTTCACTGACACTCTCCACAGCTTGTCACCGCCCAGGAAGCCACAATTTCTCACTACTCCGAGCACTGGACTCCCTTAGGTTTCTTTGCTCAGATCACTTCACTGGCCTACAGACTCAGCTCAGAAAACAGGAGAGAAGGAAAACACCACAGAGCAGAAGAAAATCTAGATACCTTCCCCACCCAGTAGGTAACAGCCCACCTTCTATCCCACAGTGTCCCATAATCACCTCAACTTAATCCTCACAAAAATCTCATTAGGCAGATATTACCACTCCATTTCACTGACAGAGAAACTGAGTCCCTGGTGATTAAGTAATTTGTCTAGTTACATTTAAGTGGCAGAGCCAAGATTTGAATAATGAACTCTAAAACCTATATTCCCCTCAGACTGTACCAGGTCTCTTCACCCATACAAATCCCTCCCACCCAAAGTCCCTTCTTTGGTCTAGGAATACTGCCTGGATGCAAGAAAACCAATCAGCTCATAGCTCTTCACCTTCCTCAGAGCACCAAGCATCGCTTAATCCCTCTTTTGGCAGATTGGCACCATGAGCTCTTCCTTTCACTTGCCTCCTCTGAGGCAGCATGCCCCAGTGATTAGGCACAGCCTTTGGAAGGTAGTTCTCCTTGAGAAGACTCTGACATTTTTGATCACTAACCAAACTGCTAACAGTCAAGTACCTCATCACATATGACTAGTCCGACACTCCCCTTCTGGAGAACTGCAACATGAAGGCGAAGTGTTTCATAGGAAATGATGAGGATGGGAGAAGGTACTCTGGCGCCACGCTGATTCATGAATCCTTCTACAAGAGAAAAGGTGTCAGGGGAATAAGCCTCAGAATATCTTAAAGAAACAGCCTGTTTGACAATTCTGTAATTTAGCTTGGACCAACTATTTCAACTATTTTCCATGGGAATCCCCTCACCCTCACCATGCACTGCTTTCTACATCAGGGAGCATACACATAAAGAGAAGGTTGTGTGGAACAGTATAGTCATCTTTGTTAAAGCTCCATACCCAGCTTTTGGTCTATCTCATCCTTAGAGCCTCCATCAATGGCCAGAGGTTGAATCCTCCCTCCAAGCCATTTTGCGACTTCATTGTACCAGTTCTTCACTAGGCTGGAGGGCGACACCACCACTGCCTTGTCAATTTCTGGCTTGCACTCTGGACTCTGGCGCAAAAGTGTCCACATCAGAGTGATGCACTGCAATGTCTTGCCCAGGCCCATCTCATCAGCCATGATGCAGCCGTGACTGCCAGGGATGCGCCGACTGGTGACGCACTCCCACAGAAACTTCACTCCCTGGAGAAAGAAAGTACACGGCCCACTTTGGCATCCGTTTTTCAGAAATGGCAGCCTTCCCGACTCAGCCCCCACACTACACTTTGTTCCCCCACCCAAATTACCTCTCTCTGATGAGGCCGCAATACCTTACTGAGAATAGGATCAACAACCACATGGACAGGGAGCTTTTCCCTGAGAAAACACAGCAAAGAAAATATGGTGCTCAGACATTGTCAAGGGTATGCCCTCAGAAAGTTGTCTCTTGCTGACACAGAGGCCAGAGGAAGCCGCCAAAACAGAACGTTCTTTCAGTTTGGCCTGGTAATAAACCGTAACAAATTCCTGCTCCAGGGACTAGGAGACAGGCATGGGTTCCCTTATGTTTCTACCTCAACTCTCATCCCCCAAGTGAGCTTGGCAGGAAGTAGTAGGGAACCCACAACAACTGGACATGACCACCTGTTTTCCCCAGGGGCTCCATGAATGGCGTAGTTGTAATGATGGCACTATAAAAACATGCCAATCATATGGGAAAATCCCAACAAAATGCCCTCCTCCCTCCTGGGTATGTGCACTTACAGGGGCCAGAACTGCTCAAGAAATATCAACGCACATACTTGTCAAGTTTCAGCTGGTCATGGGCACTCAGTGGGGGAGGCTCATACAGTACCAAGGCACCCTCTTCCAGGGGATCATGGAGGGCTCGGCGAACTCCTGCTCTTTTGAGGCCCAATGCCCGAAAACCCAGAGGACCTAGAAAGCAACAATTTGTCAACTGAGCCTTTATGTTGAAGTGCTCAAGCGGGCGCAGTTCAAATGTCCATCCTTCACATAATTTTCCTAACGCTCCCAGAACCTCTCCAAGACCAGTTTGGGTATCTCTACCCAATCATCATCCCATTCTGCTTCAGATCAGAGCTTTTACCACTTATTTCTCCCACTTAACCACAAACTTCTGGAGGGTGGGGTCTTGTTCATCACAAGTCATGCCTGAAAAGGTCTGAACCTTATTGGGGTCTCTGTGTCTGAGATCTCTTGAAAGTGGGCCTCCTTCCTCCTTAATCTCAGTTTTAGCACAATGTTATGCCCTAGTAGAAAAGGGGAAAACTTTGTAGAATCTAGGCTTCCAACAGAGTCAACCTCATAAAGGAGATGCTACTAAACTCACTTGGACTGAATGAAACCTGGGCCCATCAGCCCCTCTGATGCACTAGGGGCTTCCTGAGCACTAGCACAAGATGATGAGTTGGTCTTGGCAGCCCTTGCTGAAGCTATCACAAGCAGCTTTCATCTGGGTCTGAGGAGGCTCATTCCATGCACAGTCACCACTGGACAAAACCTCCAACTGGAAGCCAAACTTGGATGTACAAAAGTAGAAATATTGAATCTATTCAGGAACAATCACACATGACTGACTCAAAAAAATAAAAGTCTCCCTCTTTACCTTGGTAATTTGGAATGGGGATTTTGAAAGGCTTTGACAAAATGCTTCGAATAAATGCTTCCTAAAAATAAAGAAGAAACAAGAGATTTAGGACCAACTGGCTATGTTATGATAGTATTTTTGTAGGCACAGTCTAAAATAAAATGCCTATCTAAGAATTGTAATACATTCAGAGCATTGTATTTTGATTCTGACTCATTCTAATACTTCTAGAAGATAAGGAGATATGCCTCATATTAGGTTATTAGATTTGGTACAAAGCTTCTATCTTTGATGCTTTACATATGGTTCTATAAATACCTGAGGAAAGCCACGAGCAAGTCTGAATCAACCAGAAGGCTCAGAGTCATTAACTAGCTCATAAAAGACCATGTCAGGAAGGATACCAGATTATTCCCTGGGTATAGCCCTTCAGAGGACAGCACCAAATGGATCCAACCCCAGTACTAACAGGTAACTCCAAGGTCGCAGTTTAACCATTGTCCTATAGGGCTACAACTTCCCAAGCACACCTCACAATTTTTTTTAAAGATTCATTTATTTATGCATACAAGAACAGGGATACAAGCCAGAGGTATGGGGAGGGGGTGAGAGGATTCACCAGAGACAGAGTGGGGAACAGAACATGCAGACTGACTGAAATATACTGCTGAGGGAGCAGCGGGTGAGCCAGGAGAGGTCTGCCTCTCCATGTGGGTTGCTCCCTGGCTGGGCATCGAACTCGTGCTGACGTGACTGCAGTTAGCTTCATAGGTTGTGATTTAACCCCTTGTGCCACAGGGAAGGCCCGCACCTCACAATTTTTGTCCTATCAATTCTGCCCCCTGTATCTATTTTTTTTTTGCCTCCTGCATCTAATTCCCAATTCAGTCTCCTTAGAAACTAAGTCCCTGAAAGAGTAGTGTTAGGGGGCCTCCCTGGTGGCACATTGGGTTGAGCACCACACTGTGAAGCTGTCCGCAGCCTCTGTAGCATGGGTTCGATCCTGGCGGGCCGGCGAGAATCCCACATGGCACAGCAGACCTCTCCTGTCACACCTGCTGCTCCCCTCTGCAGTGTATTTCTGTGGTCTGCCTGTTCTGCTCCCTGCTCTGTCTCTGGTGAATCCTCTCACCCTCCCGCGCGTCTGGCCTACACCTCGCTCTTGTATAAAAATAAATAAATCTTAAAAAAAAAAAAAAAAGAGTAGTGTTAGTAGGAGTAATAAGAACAATAGTGTTAGTAAAATACTATTAATAACTGCAAAAATGACAACAATAATGACTAACAGTGTATGTCAGATGCAATGCTAAGCCCCTTGCATTCATTACCATTTAATTCTCAGTCATATGAGGCCCAGAGGCCAGAGACATCTTTCATGAGTTTTTTCATCATTGCTATTCATAATTATATAGTTATGTTTAATCCCTGAAGAATAAATATTACTGGCACCCCCATTTTACAAATGAGCAAACTGAGGTTCTGAGAGGTTAACTCACTTTCCCAAGTCACATAGCCACAAGATTTGTCGGACTTTCCCAGTCTGAGGGTCCTTATTTGTAACCAGTGCAATACAGTCTCTTAACCCAAACTATTTGAATATGGCCATGTGGACCAGCTCAGAGTCAACAGCTTCCTCCCAATGGGAAGGCATGAAACAATCAGAAAAAGGGAACATAAGAGAGGGCAAGCCTAATCACCAAGAAAAAGCAAGTGGCCTAGGGGTTAAGTCTCAGCACTATCACTGCTATGGCCTGAGTTCCATCCCCAGCCAGGGAGCGAACCCATATATGGCAGAGCAAACCTCTCCAGCTCCCCTCCGCAGTGTATTTCAGTCAATCTGCCTGTTCTGCTCCCCACTCTTTCTCTGGTGAATCCTCTCACCCCCCACACCTCTGGCTGATACCCCAGTTCTACACAAAAGTAAATAAACAAAGAAAAAGCAAGTGGAATAAGGGTGACAGGAAACAGCCACTTGAGGCCGGAGAAGGGTAGCCTTGGGGCCTTCACCTCAGGGTCTGCAGGAGCCTCTATATCATTACTTCAACCAGTGATCAACACTGGACATGGGAGCAGGAGGAGGCAGGAGAGCCGACAGTTCCTTAGCTAACATTTCCATCAAAGTGCTGGTCTGCAATACACACCTGATCCACTGGGGAATTATAACACTCTATTAACCTCAACAAAACAAGAACTGGGCCCCCAAGCATATAAGGAGGAAAGAAGAGCAGAAACCCTAAAGGTCGTTTTAATGGGAATCCATTAGTGGAAGAAGATGTAATGAAGAAACTCCCTTCTAGCAAAAGGCAATTTAATATGAAAAAAAGCAAACACATCCTGCCTGAAACTTTTACTTTTATATTTTGATCATTATGGCTTTCTAGAAACTCATTGTACCTTAAACTGGAAAAATATAAGGAATATATCTGTCAACCTACTGGAAGCCAGAAAAGGAATGTAGAGAACTGACTTCATCATCACACTAACTAACATGATAAAAGCAAGACTGGAGAAAGACCCTAACCCTTTATTTGCAAATTATTTTGCAGTTGCATAAGATCTCTATTGACATGGTTAATTCCTGTGATTACTATGCTAGCACAGATGAGAAACTTGTATAAAAGATACTAACAAAAAGCTACCCTTAAGTCAAAGGAGAGGAAAAAGAAGAGGAGCTCTTTCTTCATTTCTAATTTTGCATCAACTTTGCACTGAAATATTATTTTCAAGATCATCAATGTGGCAGGCTACTTTTTTGAGACTGAATAGGCAAGAATCTGTGTCCCAAGATTTAAAGCAATATCTTCAATAAAACCAGAAGCCACAGATGGTGCAGTAAGAACTGCAAGCCTGTGCTACTACATGAGACCGTGAAGACCCAGGCCCAAACAGCTCCTAAGACTTGCCACTGTCAACCTCCAGGAGTCTGGTCTTATGATCACCACCAGACTCTAGCAGAGGCAAGGGCGACAGCATGTTCTCATTTTGTTCATTTAGTTCCTGGAAAATGGATACTACTGTTCTAATAGAAGAGGGAAAGCATCTCTCCTCTCTACCAAGGTCAAATTTTCCCTCTTCCATTCAGATCCACTGCTTAACTTTCTTATCTTAACAAATATTCCTTTGCTCTCTTACCTCCTCCCCTTCAAACATCTAGGAAGAGTGGTCATTCCCCCTTCCTTATCTCCCATTCCTCCTAATTTATCTTCTGTTCCTTCTACTCCTCTAAAATTACCAATGACCTACATGACCCTAATTTCAAAGGGCCTGTTTCTACCCTTATCTTAGCAGACAAAGCCAGCCACTCCTCAAATATTTTCTGCTTTTCACTTCCATGACACTATTCTCCCAATATTCTGCCTCTGGAACCTCATGCTCAGCCCCCTAATGGGCTCTTTTCCCTCTGCCTAACACCCTTAAAAGTCAAGTTTTCGGGCCTCCCTGGTGGTGCAAGGGGTTAAGCACCGCACAATGAAGCAATCCGCAGCCACTGCTGCACGAGTTCGATTCCCAGCCGGCCAGGGAGAAACCCTAGCCGCAGCAGACCTCTCCTGTCTCTCCCACTGCTCCCCTCAGCAGTGTATTTCAGTCAGTCTGCCTGTTCTGTTCCCTGCTGTCTCTGGTGAATCCTCTCACCCCCTGCATCTCTGGCCTATACCCCAGCTCTTGTATGCACAAATAAATAAATCTTTAAAAAAAAAAAAATCAAGTTTTCCTCAAGGATCAGCTCTTCAAGGCACCTTTACCTCAACACCCCACTACATTTCAGTGCTAATGACCCCAATTCCAGTCATTACCTTTTTCCTAGTCTTCCACACTCATAATTGCAACCAATTCCAATCCTCAACATCTTAGAAGACTTCAAACTCATCAAGTGCTCCGCTAAAGTCCTCACCCTCCAGGACTGCACTCTGACTCTGATGGGCCCTCAGCACTTCTGCCTTTGGGGCCCTTCCTCCATAGCTTTCATACAGGTTGTCCCCACTTCACTAGAGCATTTCACACTCTCTTCACCTGGTTGGCTCCTCATTCTTCAGGACATTACCTAATCTGATTCTCAGGTACAGATATTCACCGACCTCCAAACTGTCAGGCACTCTGCTGTGTGTATTCCCCCACACTATGTCATATAGTTAACACAAGAAAACTTGAATCCTGAATGAGAACAGTCCCAGAGGAGTACATATTTTTTAAAAGCTCACAATACAAACAATGTGTACTAAACTTACATACTATGGTAAAGCTATCTCAAAAAGGGATGATGAACATAATTCAGGATAGTAATTATCTCCAGGGATGGGAAAAGGGATTATGGTGTTGATAATGTTCCAGTAGTAGATGGTGGATCATAGGTATTTATTTTGTTTTATATCTTACATATAAGACACACATATTTTTATAATTATTAAATTATGAAAAAACATATTTAAATGTGTGCTGAAGGGCCTCCATGGTGGTGCAAGGGGTTAAGCACAGCACTGTGAAGTTATCCAGACTCTGCAGCACGAGTTTGATCCCCAGCCAGCCAGGTAGCTACCCACATGGCACCACAAACCTCTCGTCTTGCCCGCTGCACCTCTTGTTACAGGGCAAACCCCGATATAAAATGGGGTTGCCTGAATGTGGGTCTTCACCCACGCGCTTAAAGGGGACTTATTAATGCTAAACTGCAGACATATCAACAAAAGGTTGATAAAAGGTTTATTTACAAGGGAAGGGGAAATGGGGGAATGAAAAACTCAGGGAGAAAAAAAAGAGGGAGATAAGTTCGTAAATGCATCCTACCCATTCTGCTGACCTGGAATCCCAGTGACCCCCGGAGCTGGCAAAAAACCTAGCACGCGGAGTGGCAAAGAGGGCGACCCGCAGCCACATGGTCAGTTAAGTACTCAAACTGAGAGCCTAGTTACTTAACTCCGCCCTCAGGTCCTCACAACCTTCCCTTTGGTGATCATGGGATTTGTAGTTCCCAGAGTCTTAATAAAGTGGGGGTGGAGTCCACAAAGTCTGTATGGAGTTTGCTCAGGACAGTCTTTGCCCCTAACACCCTCAGCAGTGTATTTCAGTCAGTCTGCCTGTTCTGTTCTCCACCTTGTCTCTGGTGAATCCTCTCAACCCCCCCCCACCTCTGGCATGTACCCCAGTTCTTGTATGCATAAATAAATCAATCTTTTAAAAAAAATGGGCCTCCCCTGGTGGCCTCTGCAGTGCTGGTTTGATCCCAGGCCGCCGGCGAGGGTCCCACATGGCGAGACAGACCACTCCTGCCGTGCCTGCTGCTCCCCTCAGCAGTGTATTTTGTCAGTCTGCCTGTTCTGTTCCTCACTCTGGCTCTGGTGAATTCTCTCACCCTCCTGCGCTTCTGACTGTACCCAGTGCTTGTATAAATAAATAAATCTTTAAAAAAAAAGACTGACCTTCCCTCGTTCAGAAGTTAATTCCAAGTCCAGGTTGTTACCTGTGCTTGGGACCTACAGGCTAAAAATTGGATGTTACCACAACACCCCTCCTGCGTTCAATTATTCTGTTAAAGCAGCTCACAGAACTCTAGAAAAAGAGTTTACTTACTAAATTTAGGGTTTATCACAAAGGATGTTAAGATATGAATGAACAGTCAGATGAAGAGATACACACAGAGCGAGATCTGGAAGGGCGCTGAGCACAGGTGTTCTGTCACAGTTGAGTTTGGGGTGCTCCACCCTCCCAGATGTGTTCCTGTTCACCAACCCAAGACTTGGATTTTTAAGCCTTCATTCATCATCTAAGAATGACAGAAAAATCACTGGCCACAGGTGACCTAGCTCAACCTCCAGCCCCTCCCTGCTGCCCTCTGGCCAGGGTTGGGGTTAAAAGCTCAACCATCAAGTCACAGGGTTGGTTACCCCAGCAACCAGCCCACAAGGTTAAGTGCTTTATAAAGCCGTTCATTAACAAACTCCCACTGGTTGCTGAAAGGGGGTTGTTATGAATAACAAAAGACACCTTTACACCTCTTATCACTTAAGAAATTCCAAAGAATCCTGCTGCCCTCAGAAAAGTTGGTAAAAATGTTGAGTGGAACTAGACAGAACTGACTTGAAATCTGGGCAAATTACTTAACCAGAGACTCAAGTTTACTCATCTTAAAAAAATGAGAATTATATGAGATAATGCATAGCACATATACACCATCATCATGGTTAAATTTGCTTTTACTAGAAAAACATGTGAAAACTATAGGACACTAGTAATCCTCAAAGCCATAGGCAGAATCAGAGACTGAGATGGCACCCTAGTTCCAACCTCTGCTGTTAAAAATAGAATAACAGGTCCAAAATGGAGCCCTTCAGGTCAGCCCCCCCCCCCCATACACAAACAATACAAATTGCAGTTTCAACCTCTTCCAAAAATGGAGCCTGAAACCAATCAATCTAAAGTTCCTAATCAGGACCGCTGAAGTAATCTGCACATCAGAGCCCCTTACCTTCCCCTGAGGGAAGGTGGCTTTACCTGAAATCTTTTCTTTCTCAATACCTTGTCTCACTCTTTTTAAATTTTTTTTAAGATTTATTTGTATTTATTTATGCATACAAGAACTAGGGCATAGGCCAGAGGTGGCGAGGTGGGGGGAGAGGATTCACCAGAGACAGTGGGGAGCAGAAGAGGACTGACTGAAACACAATGCTGAGGGGAGTAGTCAAGACAGGAGAGGTCTGCTGCGCCATGTTGGGTTAGCTCAAAATCAAGCTTCAGTGGCTGATAGCTTCATAGTGCTGAAGCTGCATGGCCTTCTCTCTCCTATACCCTTCTGTCTTTAGGAATCTGAACCACAAAGTCTAGTGCTCAAGAAGTTTTAAACAAGGGGACTTCAAGTCAGGGACACATACAAGGAAAGAGGCCAGGCTTCTTCCAGGTACCAAGAGCAGTGGGCAGGCCCCACAAAAGTCTGCTGCTGACCATTCTGTAGAGCACTTGAGGGGGGTGGGGGGTGGGCGGGGAACAGGGCACAGCGGCAAGACTCCCTAAACAAAACTAGGCAGGCACACAACAGCAGGTTGCAGTTCTGACTTACATGTTGACTACTGTCCAAACAGGGTGGTCGATTTGTAAGTTGTGTCAAAGGTTTCCGGAAAGAAGATGAGAAACACTCCTGGCTCTGGGTCTCACAGCTGGATTTCCGTTTCTTAGGCGTCTAGGAGAGAGTATTGGGGAAGATGAAGTATGGAAGACCAGAGCTCACCACAACGCAACTAAAATGTAAAATGTTTATAAAGTATCAGGCATTGTGCTAAACTCTTCCCAGGAATTATCATGTATCATCTCACAGTGCTCCTATGATACAGGCTTATTAGTATTCTTATTTAATGATTGAGAAAACTGAAATGTAATGAGGTTAAAGAACTAGCCTAATCTGAGGAAGGTTACTAGAAGTTCAATGAAATAGGACTGTGAAGGGCAAATCCACCAGTAATAAGTCACTCTCAAATCTTTACTCCAAAAGCCCCAGGGAATGATAGAGGAATCATTTGATTCCCTCCCATTTGCTTCTCACCCTGTATTTACGAGAGGAACAAGAATACAGGCCCCACCTCCCAGGCCACTGAGGCTACTCCCTCGTCAGTAGGGCAATGAGGACACTAACACTAAGTGCATTTTCAGTAGTAACCAGCAGATGGTACTATTTATGACCCAGCTACACCAAGTTCAAGTCTGAGACCCACATAAGTGGCAAGGGCAGAGGAACCCCTACACATCAGCGGTGCATTTGTTAGTGTGCAGACTGAGGGATACCCCAGGACTCCCAAACTTGCACACTCTAATTGGGTTTGGTCATCAGTGCACACCAAGACAAAGCATATTTAGTGTGAAAGAACTTTAATAGGGGCCTCCCTGGTGGCGCTGGGGTTAAAGTCAGTGCCATCAAGCTATCGCCAGCTACTGTGGCACAAATTCAATCCCCGCTCAAGGAGCTGACCCACATGGCACAGCAGACCTCTCCTTGTCTCGCCCACTGCTCCCCTCAGCAGTATATTTCAGTAGATCTGCCTGTTCTGTTCCCAGCTCTATCTCTGGTGAATCCTCTTACTCCTCACACCTCTGGCCTACACCCCCAGTTCTTGCATGCACACATAAAAATAAATCTTAGGGAGGAAAAGAAAAAAAAAGAACTTTAGGGCCTCCCCGGTGGTGCAGCGGTTGAGCGCTGGGTTGCGAAACCGCCCACGACCTCTGTGGCACCAGTTCGATCCTCGGCTGCTCCCCGGCCACCGGAGGAGGATCCCACATGGCGCGCAGACCTCTCCTGCCGCCCGCTGCTCCCCTCAGCAGTGTACTTCGGTCCTTCTGCCTGTTCTGCTCCCTGCTCTGACTCTGGTGAATTCTCTCACCTTCTTGCACTTCTGACTGTACCCAGTGATTGTATAAATAAATAAATAAAAATAAATAAATCTTTAAAAAAAAAAAAGAACTTTAGGGGCCTCCCTGATGGCACAGGGGTTAAAGACAGCACTACCAGCCTAACACCAGCCACTGCAGCAGGAGTTTGATCCCCATCAGCCAGTCGGCCAGGGAGCAGCCCACGTGGTGCAGTGGACCTCTCCTGTCTCGCCAGCTCCCCTTGGCAGTGTGTTTCTGTAGATCTGCCTGTTCTGGCCCCCACTCTGTCTCTGGTGGGTCCTCTCCCCCACCACCTCTGGCTTACACCCCAGTTCTTGTATGCATAAATAAATAAATCTTAAAAAAAAAAAAAGAAAGAAAGAACTTTAATAGACTAGTGTGTACAGGGAAGAAAGGATAATAGTTTCCCAAAAAAAAAATCTAAAGTTACCCATCCTTTCGTGGATAAATGCCCAAACAGGATTGGCTTGAAGCAGGGCTGTTGAGGCTTGAAAGCCTGCCCCAAATCTAAGGGACCTTTTGCAGGGGAAACCACAAGGGAGTGAAAGGGCCCAGACAAATCTGGAACAAAATGAGCAAAAGCTAAGTACAAATCAAGATAACAGCTGCCACTATCAGCCTCCCTACCTGTCTCTCACCCAGGTGTCTCTTCCAAGTGTCTTTACATGTCTCCTCCGGTTCCCCCAAGCCACTGGCGTCAGTCCAAAGCAGAGAAGAAAGCAGATTCTTCTTTTCCACGTGTCTCTCCTGTGCATCCCTCCAAGTGTTTTATAGCTACACCTAGCTGCTCAGCTCCACCCCTCATTAGGTGGGGCAGGGAACAGAGAACCTCCCCTTTTCTATGGAGATGCATATTATACAACACAGAGCAAACCCTACCAAACCTTCAGCAAAGAACCTACTTGAACCAGTTTGCCGAGGTTATTTGAAGCTTCAATGGTCCTACATGACACACCTGAAACAGAAACACCAGGCTCCCTTCCTATGCCTGCCCAAAATTGTTTTCTAGACCTCCCTTAGCTAACTTTTTCCTTCAAAGATCCAGTGTCCAAGCTCTTGGTTCTTTTTTTTTTTTTTTTTAATAGAGGCATGTTTTATTTATTTATTTATTTATTCATTTGTTTTTTTTTTTTTTTATACATGCACTGGGTACAGTCAGAAGCACGGGAGGGTGAGAGAATTCACCAGAGCCAGAGCGGGGAGCAGAGCAGGCAGAAGGACCGAAGTACACTGCTGAGGGGAGCAGCGGGCGGCAGGAGAGGTCTGCGCACCATGTGGGACCCTCCTCTGGTGGCTGGGGAGCAGCCGGGGATCGAACCGGTGCTACAGAGGCTGCTGGCACAAGCTCTTGGTTCTTGAATTGCTCTCTCTCTGAACTACATGCTACACTGGCCTACTGATTTTGGTACGTAGGTCCTGCCCACAGCCAGCCCCAGCAAGCCTTTTAGGCAGGGAGCAGAGCCAGGGTTCTCTCCAAAGTTAAATACACTCACTGCACTTGAGCATTAGCAAGAACAAGAGGGGCACTGCCCTTCAATCTAGCCCAAGTAAGTTCAGGATCTTGGGGTAGACCTGGTACACTCTACTGTTCTGTGACATTACATTAGGAACAGGACAAAGAGCAAAACAGCAGGATGCTAGTTGCTGTTGGGAAGTCTTTGGGTGATTGGGGGGGGGCCTGAGGCAAAGGCCCATCCTATCTGCTCTTTTGCTTTGAATACCCCTTCCTACAAGGAAAATTGAGGTTCTATTAGCATTTAGTGAGCACCTTGAGAATTTTATCTATCTTGTTAAATCCCTAACACAATAAATACTCATTAAAAGTTTACTGAACAGGGCCTCCCCGGTGGCGCAGCGGTTGAGCGCTGGGTTGCGAAGCTGCCCGCAGCCTCTGCGGCGCCGGTTCGATCCCCGGCTGCTCCCCGGCCACCGGAGGAGGGTCCCACATGGTGCGCAGACCTCTCCTGCCGCCCGCTGCTCCCCTCAGCAGTGTACTTTGGTCCTTCTGCCTGCTCTGCTCCCCGCTCTGGCTCTGGTGAATTCTCTCACCCTCCCGCGCTTCTGACTGTACCCAGTGCATGTATAAACAAAAACAAACAAACAAATAAATAAATAAACAAACAAACATGCCTCTATTAAAAAAAAAAAAAAAAGTTTACTGAACAAATGAAGCTATTGAAGGTGATCAGGTTCTTTCCAAATAACCTGAGAAACCGAGTACAGGATTTTTTTTTTTTAAAGATTTATTTATGCATATAAGAACAGGGCTATAGGCCAAAAGTGTGGAGGGTGAGAGGATTCACCAGAGAAAGAGTGGGGAGCAGAACAGGCAGATCTACTGACTACACTGCTGAGGGAAGCAGTGGGCAAGGCAGGAGAGGTCTGCTGCGCCATGTAGGCAGCTCCCTGGCCGGGGATCAAACACGTGATCAAACACGTGCTGTAGAGGCTGCCTTAGCTTCATAGTGCTGTGCTTAACCCCTTGTGCCACCAGGGAGGCCCAGGCCCAGTACAGCATTTCTGCCCCAAAAGACACCCCACCCCTCCCCCCCCCCCATTCCCAATCCCTTTGAGGGCAGAGTACTCACCACTACCCCAGGATGCCAATCATCGTCATCAGAGGACCTGCCTTCTGGTTTTCTCTTGGCTAGCTGGCTAGGAGCTAAGCTCCTCCTCTGTGAGGGAAGAAAGGAAATTGAACACCTGCAGGGAGCCTGCAACCCGAGTCCATTACACCCAGATCCGGGGCTACCCATTTCCCCTAGGTCACACTTACCATCCTGGGCCCAGGAGCATAAACATCAGGTACCCATGAGCCAAAGATTAAAGGAACTCAGCAGCTAAGAGAGCAAAACCAGGGCCTGGCAAAGAGTGGGGTGCTATATTGGGAGGATGGGCTAATTAAAAAGGGAGCATGGATGAAGGGGATCCAACCGGGAGCTGGACTGGGCCCAAACTCTGTGTCGGTCGCCAATTTCACCAAGGCGAGGGGACAGGTCAAGAAGGAAGAGTCCGAGAGGTGGTGCGCAGAGGTATGGGCTGGGGGGGAGGACAGGTGGCGCGCCAGACGGGGGGGAGAGGAGTGAAAAGGTCACAGATGGGCATGAAAGGAAGGGGAAGAGCGGGGGGCAGGTTGGAGGGGGGTGAGGGCTAATCACAGGCCGGGAGAGAATCTGCGCGGCAGCAACCCCGAGGCCTGCGGCGGGCGCGGCGCGGGAGTCCGAAGAGGGATTCCCCGAGCTTGGAGTGCGATGCCAGGCGGAGACTCTGCGAGGTCGAGCAGGGGTCCAGGCAAGACAAGAAAAGGACCCGAGCTTAGGGCAGGATCCCCGGCGTGGCTGGCAAAGACCGGCAGAAACGAGCCCCACGCCAGCTCCCCGCTTCACGCTTCCTCTCCCCGAAGCGCGCGTTAACAGCCGCCGGGAAATCCCCGAACCCGCCAGGCCGGGTCAATCGAACCTCCCGCCGAGCTGCGGCCGCGCCTCCCATTGGCTGCGCTCGATACGTTCGGCGCTCGCGCCCCCAGGCTGTGGGCGGGGCCGGCGCTGCGGCCCGGGCGGGGCTGGCGCCCCGGAGCTGGCGCGGCAGACGGAGCAGCGGGGAGGTGGGACTTAGGGGAAAGGCCGGGCCAACAGCCGCCCGGGCGGTTGGGCCAGGTGGGCGGGGCGAGCGGGCCCGGCGGGTGTTGGGCCTGCGGGCAGGATGTGGGCTCCGCTTCCTGGGCGTTGACCCAGGTGGGTGCGCTGCCCCTGAAGTGGCCATTTGCAGCGAGCGGGGCGAAGGGGTTGCCACCTGCCGCCTGCCGCCTGAAGAGTGGGGCTTCTGGATAGCGGCACGAGTCTGCACCGATCCGTTGCCAGACCCCAGACCCGGGGGGCACCGCCCGGGAGGATGGGTGGGCAGTCACCTGTCTGGGATTACCGGCCGCGCGGGTGGCTTGAGCAGTGAGCCCCTACGGGACCTGGTTTTCTGTGGAAGCTGCCTCCTCGCCTGTGCAAATCCGTGTTGGTGGCAGTGTGGTTTTGGAGTCAGACCTGGTGCCGGAGACTCAATCTCAAAACTTCGGTTTCTTCCCAACTAAAATGTGCATTATGGGGCCTCCCTGGTGGTGCAAGAGTTAAGATGCAACTTATGAAGCAGTCCACTGCCACTGCAGCACAAGTTCTATTCCCAGCCAGCCAGGGAGCAACCCGCAAGGCGCAGCAGACCTCTCCTGTCACGCCTGCTGCTCCCCTCAGCAGTGTATTTCGTCAGTCTGCCTGTTCTGTTCCCCACTCTGTCTCTGGTGAATACGCTCAACCACCACACTTCTGGCCTGTATCCCAGCTTTTGTATGCAGAAATAAATAAATCTTTAAAAAAATAAAATGTGCGTTATATTTACTCCATCCCTACAGTGTTATTCTGAGAAGTAAGGTAATATTTGAAGTGCTCAACAATGCCAGGCGCAACCTAGGTGCTCACTTAGAATAACAAGGGTAGATACATAGCATTTACTACCCAATACTTTTTTTTTTAATAAAAATCTTTCTTTGAGAATTTTTTTTAAAGATTTATTGATTTATTATTTATACAGGCACTGGGTACAGTCAGAAGCGCGGGAGGGTGAGAGAATTCACCAGAGCCAGAGCGGGGAGCAGAACAGGCAGAAGGACCAAAGTACACTGCTGAGGGGAGCAGTGGGCGGCAGGAGAGGTCTGGGCGCCATGTGGGACCCTCCTCTGGTGGCCAGGGAGTAGCCGGGGAGTAGCCAGGGAGTAGCCGGGGATCGAACCGAACCGGCTCTGCAGAGGCCGCGGGCAGCTTCGCAACCCAGCTCTCAACCGCTGCGCCCCCAGGGAGGCCCTACTACCCAATACTTCTAAACTTAGTTACAAACATTCATTTAATGCTCACAACTATGACATAGGTTTATTGTCCCCGTTTTATAGGCAAAGAAATGGCTTAGAGGCTAGTAACTTTTTTTTTTTTTTTTTTTTTATAGAGGCATGTTTTATTTATTTATTTTGTTTGTTTGTTTTGTTTATACATGCACTGGGTACAGTCAGAAGCACGGGAGGGTGAGAGAATTCACCAGAGCCAGAGCGGGGAGCAGAGCAGGCAGAAGGACCGAAGTACACTGCTGAGGGGAGCAGCGGGTGGCAGGAGAGGTCTGCGCACCATGTGGGATCCTCCGCCGGTGGCCGGGGAGCAGCCGGGGATCGAACCGGCGCCGCAGAGGCCGCGGGCAGCTTCGCAACCCAGCGCTCAACCGCTGCGCCACCGGGGAGGCCCAGAGGCTAGTAACTTGTCCAAGGACACTCGGTGAGAGTAGCCAGGATTTTAATTTAGGCAATTCTGGCTCCAGGATTTTTGCTCTTAGCCACCACACTATGATAAGGAGGGGCAAGATTTTGAGACACAGGGCAAGCTAGAAATTAGGCAGTTTTAGGGACAGTGCAGGAGGGGACCTCTGAAGAATTTAGGGAGGCTTCAGAGATAAGGACAACCAAGGGAAAGTAACCCATTCCACTAGGAAAAACAAATATCCCAGGACCAAGGACAACATTGTTAATGCTAGTCCTGGTTTCCTTCAGGTGGTAAAGGGAGGCGGAGATTGGAGAAATGGAGAGTGGTTTAATTTATGGACACATTAGAAGGGCAGCTGTTTAACTTCAATGCAGGGATGCCCCATCCAGAAGACTGGGCCATAAATTTAAAGATGCAACAAATGGGGAAAGAGAAAGCTGTTAGATAAGGAATGTGAAGATCCCCAACTCAGTAGCAAATTAAGTGAGACAGCCGAGAACTAACCAATCACAGAGAGACTGGTGGAGCTTTAGAATAATCAGGGGAAAAAGGTATATATTCCCTGAGACACGACTCCACTTTGGCTTCCTTGCCCCTCCCAGGCCTGGTTCCCTGGCCTGGGAGTCCCACTTTATTTCTGCTCTTTTTCTCCTCAATAAACTTTTTCTTCTCTAAACAAACCTGCCTTTGCTCACTTGCTTGCCTGAGCGTCTGCGAAGTTCCTGCTGCGGTTTCGTGAGACACCAACCCGTGGGGGGTCTAGCGGCTGGGGCTCAGCGCTGCCCTGCAGCCTGGAATCTGTTCCTGGCTGGGAGACTAGGCCTGACAATTCCGGTATCAATTTGAGGAGCCTGAAGCTTTTGTAAGTCCTTGTCTAGACCCTCTAAAGTTAGGTACACGCTAAAATTGGATACACATATTTATTTAAAATGAGGGGGAAATAGTTAAGGAATCTTGAAAATCTAGGTCTCTTTCTTCTGAAACCTTTTTTTGGCTATTGATCAGAAATGCTTCCTGTTGCGATCTGGTTTTTCCCCAATTGGAAAACTGATTACAAATCCCAGTAATTTACAGCACTTCCAGACTCTGTGCAAATACTCCCTGACTTCATTGGAAATCCGCCTCTGATGATATCTATCACTGGGAGATGAAGTACAGTAATATTTTACTTACTGATGTTTTAAGTTAATTTTTAAATTTTGAGGTAACTGCAGATTCACATGCAGCTGTAAAAAGTAATACAGAGAAATCTTATTTACCTTTTCCCAGGTTTCCCCTAATGTCTTGCAAAACAACATCAAGACCATGATATTGACAATAATATTAATACAATCAAGATACAGAATAATCCATTACCTCAGGAGGATCCTTCCTTTTGCCCTTTTGTAACCACACCCACTTCTCCCACTTCTACTTCTTCCTTCATCCCTAGCCATCTGTTCTTTTCTGTAATTTTGCCATTTCAAAATGCTACATAAATGGAATTATGTAGCATGTAGCCTTTTATAATTGGCTTTTTTCTTTTAGCATAATTCCTCAGAGATTTATCTAAATTGTTACATGTTTATCACTTCTTTCATTGCTGAGTAGTATTCTATGGTACAGATGTATACCTCAGTTTATTCACATGTTGAAGAACATAGGGGTTATTTCCAACATTGGCATAAGCATTTGTGTGCAGATGCTTTTGTGTGAACACAGGAGTGTAACTGCTAGGTTGTAGCAATTTAGTGTTTAGGTTTTTTAAAAACTGACAAATTATTTTCCAGAATGACAGTACCATTTTACATTACCACCAGCACTGTGTGAGCATCCAGTTTCTCCAAATTCATCAATTTCTCCAAATTCACTGTTTTTAGCTATTCTGATATGTGATTTTATATTTGCATTTCCCTAACTGCTAATGACATTGAACATATTTACATGGGTTTATTTGATACATGTATGCCCCCGTCAGTGAAATGTCTCTTCATATCTCTTGACCATTTTCTAATTGGATTATTTTTGTTTGCTGTAATTGAGGATAATTGACATTAGTTTCAGGTATACAGCATGATTTGATATTTATATATATTAAGAAATGGTCACCACATAAGTCTAATTAACATCCATTACCATACATAGTTATAAAAATTTTACGTCTTGTAATGAGAACTTTTAAGATCCAGTCTCATTATGCAAAACAGTATTATTAACTATAGTCACCATGCTGTACATTATATCCCCATGGCTTATTTATTTTATAACTGAAAGTTTATACGTTTTGACCCTCACCCCCCAATCCACTTCACCAACACTCACTCCCATCTCTGGCAACTACCAATCTGTTCTCTGTATAAGCTTGGATTTGTGGGGTTTTATTAGATTCCATATATATTAGTATGATCATATTTGTCTTTTTCTGCTGACTGCTTCACTTAGCAGAATGTCCTCAACGTTCATTTGTAACGAACAGTAGGATCTACATTTTTATGGCTGAATATTATTTCATTTTATATATATATATATATATATAAAATGGCTATTACAAATTGTAATAGGCTATTACAAATAATGCTGTTACAATTGGCTATTACAAATAATGCTGCAATAAACATGGGGGTACAAATATCTTTTTTGAGATCATGTTTTTGTTTTCTTCTGATAAATACCCAGAAGTGGATTGCTGGATCATATAGTAGTTCAATTTTTAATTTTTTGACAATCTCCATGCTGCTTGTCATGGTGGCTGTACCAATTTACATAACCAACAATTGTGCACAATGTTCCCTTTTCTCCACATTCTTGACAGCACTTGTTATTCTTTTGTCATATATGCAGTTTGCAAATATTCTCACTCTTCTATAGCTTGTTTTTTCATCCTATTAACAGTGCCTTTTGCAAAAAAAGCATTTTTAATTTTGACAAAATACAGTTTATCAATTTTTCCTCTTCATGGATCATGACTCTTGTGTCAAGTGTCAGAACACTGCCTAACTTCTGATGCCAAAGATTTTCTCTTAAGTTTTTTCCTAAAAGTTTTACATTCAAATTTGTGATCCATTTTGAGTTAACTTCAATACACAGAGCAAATAAATAGCTAATGCCTTAAATAAGTGAAAAAAGAAAAATTTTAAGAGG